ACTTTTAAAGCTTTGCCACAACCTGCTGGAGTCCACTTGGTAGATAGACTTACACAAAACCTTCAGGAAGTCGCCAGTGCATGTGCATCTGCAGCTGACTGACTTTTGGAGTCAACCCCATTAAAGGTGACTGAATAGGGCAAAACAAAATTTTTGGATGGAATCTCCCTGACTGCACTCAACACTTTCTGTGTCTTTTTCAGTCACCTGTGTCAAAACGTTAGCCAAGCTTACATGCTAAATCTAAACATGATCAGGGTGCTCCAGCCCTCGTCCTTCAGCTGCAGCACCTGTCTCCGTGGTTGGAGGGCACGCAGCATGCCTTTGTTCAGTTTAAATTTCAGATGAGTCAGATGTAGATCACACCAGCTCCTTGTAAACTTCTGTCACAAAGTCAAAACCACCTCTAAGGGGTGACGGTGGGACAGGAGTTAAGAGCTCGCCCGTAATTGGAAGGTTGCAGGTTCGAGCCCCCCTCAGTCTGTTGCTGTCGTTGTGTCTTTGGGCAAGGCACTTAACCCTCCTTGCCTGCTGGAGGTGTTTGGAAGGACCGGTGGCGCCTGTGTACGGCAGACTTGCCTCTGTCAGTGAGCCCCAGAGCAGCTGTGGCTACAATGTAGCTCATCACCACCAGGGTGTGAGTGTGTGTGTGAATGACTGATTGTGTTGTAGAGTGTCTTGGGGGGTTCCAGCACTCTAGAAGGTGCTTTATCAAATACAGGTCATTTACCATTTTACCATTCTAACCTAAAGACATCTAGGTGGAGTACCTGGATTAAACTTGGTATGTACCACCCTCTGGTGGAGGCTCTGTGGGTGGTAAGGGCCAGTTTTATTTCTTATATTGTTACATAATGACACAATAAAACAAAATTATTACATTGCTGTTTCTGCATTAACATTAGCTGATAGTTCAACCTTAAATACTAGATTATTTTATTATTGTGTCATATATCAGGGTTTACAGAGCTAGATGATGCAGAGTTAGGAAACCACACGAGGAACTTCTAAAAATAAGATCTTAGCTGATTATTAATGAAGCTAAAAGCCGATGTATATTCAACAAGGCATCATCACTCCTTCCTTCCTTGGCTTTTAACTTGAACTGTTTTTAATAAGACTTTATTTTAAACTCATAATTTTTCACTCTAATATCTGTTGTGTTAACATGCCAATAAAACAACAGAAACCAAAGCCCATATTATTTAAAAAGACAGCATAATGCACATGTTTAGACTAAGCAGATCCAGTAAAAACTAGAATGTTCACCACAAAATAACTTCTAAACTGCAGAAAATCATCCAAAAAGTGCTGCTGCCAGTAGACCAACAAATGAAAACAACAGAGAGGACCTTGTTTGCAGGTGAACTGATTTACTTTGAGAGGGTGAATGAGCATTACTTATCATTCATACAAAATGCATATATTACTCTGGAGAAAATGTGCAAACAAAGCTTGAATAAAAGATGCCTTCACGTGCTCCCAGATGCAGGCATTTGAAGAACTCTACAGTGACGAATGAACTCAAGAGTAGCACTTCTACATACTCAGTGTGGGCATTAGCAAGAATCCGCTTGCATAGTTGAGTGCATGCATAAGCAATTCATCATGCAACTACTGTCATGTCAGTTCAGGAACTCTCCTCAGTCAGCGTTGATCTACTCTCGAGCTAAAAATGTGCACAAGCTGTGATGTTGGAGACTCAACGCACTGTAGCGCTTGTCTATGTACAAGAGTGGTGTTCAGCAATGGCAGCCCAGCTGTCTTGTTCTGTTGCATGAGGTGATTGTTTTAGTTTTTGTTCTCATCGACCCTGTGATCATCTGAGAGGAATGTTTGGAGATGTCTGGCAGTCTGAAGAGGCATCGCCGGTAAATGTTGGTTTCAGAAACTGTAAGCGGTGGGGACAGGTGTGTGTGTGTGTGTGTGTGTGTGTGTGTGTGTGTGTGTGTGTGTGTGTGTGTGTGTGTGTGTGTGTGTGTGTGTGTGGGAGGTTGGGGTTAGGGTCTGGCTGCAAACACTAGGAAAGCCAAGGCTTCCGGACGTTTGACACCAGCCACCCTCGCTGCGTTCCTTTGCCCCTTCTCGACCTCTCCGTGATGTATTTTGGCTGGATACAGAAATCTTCCATCTTAAAGGCTGTTGCAGAGTTACACCGAAGAGCATAATGTAAACAGGAGTTCAGGTTAAACAGGCTTAACTGTGTTTTCATTAAAACGACATTTTCAGTGCTTAGTAAATATTAATAATTCAATTACAAATTTACCAACACCTGCAGGTATACAATTTAGATTAAATACTTCTAAGATAATCTGAGGCACTGATGTTTGTTGTTGGCTCTCGGTACCAGAGAGCAGTACAAAGTGATATCTGAAAAGTATTCACTGCATCAGCGTGTTAAAAACTGCCATAAACTTTCTTTGGTGGCTGAGCTGTCCACGTGTTTGATGTATCTGAAAAGTGCCTTTCCTCCCTTCGGTCCTGACTGAGACGTTCCTCTCCGCGGCGATGCTACAGACAGGACAAGGCAATAGATTCAACACACGCCCATGCTTATTTACAATTCAGTAGAATATTCTTTGAAATCAATGCAATCCGTACAAAGTGCTTCGTTGAAAATTCGTTCGGTAAGTGTTTGAGGTGGCAGCTGGGATTCAGAGGCCACTGAAAAAGCTAAGGGTGTTTTACAGATGTTTGTCAATCGCTTGGATGGTAAAAAAAAAGACCTCAGAGCTGCACTAGAAAGACTGGATCAAGACCCTTGATGAAACGTCACTTGGATCTCTGGCTAGTTTGTGTGGAGTTGATGGGGATCTTCCTGGACTGTAGAGTCTTTTTAGCAGGCTCTTTCTTTGAAGGGTCCTTAGTGTTGGCAGCTGACTGAGTGATCGTTTGTGCTTCAGAGAGCTTGGACTTGGTGGATGACAGCAGTGAATGTTTAGCTGCAGCTGATGCTTTAGAGGACTCTTTGTCTTTGGCTGTAGTCACGTTGTTCTGGGCTTCTAAAGCTGCATTTTGGGGTTTTTTGTTCACCCCACCAGTGGTTGCTTCTCTGGTTGTGTCCCCAACCCCGTCCTCTGGACATTCCTTTGTTTCTCCCATCCCTGTTTTTCCACTCTCACCTGGTTTACGGTTCTCCTTGGGCCTCAGAGCACTTTTAAAGAAGGACAAGCCTTTGTCTTCCGTCTTACTGTTCCCCCGAGCTTCCTTAGAAGCTGAAGCGGCGCTAGCAGAGGAGAGGCCTACACCTGAAGATCGGAGACTAGTCATGGAAGAGCTACTGCTGGAGGTGCGGCCTGCTGCCCTGTCCTCCAGAGCCCTGCCCGACCTTGCCTCTGCCCTACTAGCACCACCCGACCTGGAGGGAGGACCTCCGTGACTGACTTTCCTATCTGACGTTGATTTTGCTCGAGAAGTTTCACGGCTAGCGCTCCTGTCTGCTGCTCTAGTCCTTTCTGTTGCTGAGGTTTTCTCAGCGCCCCCTCTGGGGGATGACTTTCTCTGGGGGTGTGAGCTCTGTAACCCTGGAGAACCACTCTTCTTCTGCTGTGAGTCAGGGTGTAGCAACTCTGGGGTTTGGGGGAGCACTTTCTTGGATGAAGTTGCTGTTCTTGAGGAACCCCCCTTGCTTGTTTTAGGTGGCCCACTGCTCCTGTCCCTGGGGTTGGATGTTGAAGCCACCGTTGAACCTTTGGACTGCGGTCGAGATGGTGACTTTTCAATGGCCGGGGATGCAGGGGAGAGAGAGCTGGATGATGTCGAAGAGGTGGCAGGTCGTTTCTTGGGACTCCTCTCACCCTCCAACACAGTCTTATTGGAGGTCCTTTTGACGCCAACACTATCTGCCGTCCCGTTTCTTTGCTTGGGATCTTTTGGCGATAAACTGTGTCGAGGACTGATCTGCTCAGCCGCCGTGGCGTTGTTTTCCCCAGTCTGAATGGAGCTCCTTCGCTCTGTTTGTACAACAGTCTTGAAGCACCCCTGCTCTATCAACCTCCTGCTGCTGACATTACTGTCCAAAGCAGCAAGAGCTGACTTCCCACCAGACACTTTATCTGGCTTAGGGGAACCAGTGAAACATGGATCTGTCAGCGGGCTATCAGCCACCTCTCCTATCCTCTCCAGCGTAGGAGAAGAGTGGGACTCCAGGGAGAAGCGTGATGGAGAGTTGGAGCGGAGCTGGAGCTTAGCTGAGTGGGGCCAGGTTGGTTTTGAGCCGTTCTCACTCAGAGCAAGAGGGCTGGCAATTGAAGATCTTAAGGAGAAGGTTTGCCTTTGCATGCCTCTGACTGCTGGTCGGGTTGAAAGACCTGCATGATAGAAGCAAGACTATTTCAATTCATGGAGGAAATTCTTGACCCCTTAGAGGCAACAGTGTAAAATTAAAGTTTGCATTTTCACCGTCGTCCTCGCTTCTTTCACCAGCAAACTCCGCTGACTCAGAGAGAGACGCCAGCGAGGTCCGTCTGGAGGAACCAGATGAGGCTTGGCTGGGTGGACGGCTTCCCATCAGCCGACTTATCCAGTGTTCATTCAGAGAGGAACTGGTGGAACCTAAAAACCACAAAACGTTCTGGTTCATGTCAACCCAACCATCTATAATGAAACAATACAACATGTGAGCCATTTTTATACCTAACGGATCTAAACCACTGCAGGTATAATACAATCTGCCTAATCAACGATGTAAGAAAATATCGATATGGCAATATATCAAGATATTTTTTTCCTGCGATATTATATCGATGTTCAAAAGCCATGTATGGAATTTTTGGAAGAATTCACATGCAAACAATTGTGTATTTTCTTTTCTTTTGGAACAACTCAAACGCCGACCACTAGTTGGCTGCAGAGTGCAATGGGCTTTGTTTCCACCACTAAAATGTAAATTCCTCAGTTATGGTTTAAATACCTCATGTTAAACATGTTAAGTATCAGTCTGGACTGTTTGTTGAATTTTCCTAAAATAATTTCAGTCTAAAAAAAGTTGCTAATACTGTTGTAGCCCTTCTGATCATTCCTCCCAGGTCCGGTGTTCATTAAGTCATCCCCAGCCCCTCCAGGTGTAGCTCCAGCCTCTTTGTCCCCAGCTCGGTGTGTGTGTCATTCCCCAGCTCGGTGTTTGTGTGTGTGTGTGTGTGTGTGTGTGTGTGTGTGTGTGTGTGTGTGTGTGTGTGTGTGTGTGTGTGTGTGTGTGTCCTTCCCCAGCTCTATGTATGTGTGTGTTTGTGTATGAGCCTCTTTGTCCCCAGCTCGGTGTGTGTGTGTCATTCCCCAGCTCGGTGTTTGTGTGTGTGTGCGTGCGTGTGTGTGTGTGTGTGTGTGTGTGTGTGTGTGTGTGTGTGTGTGTGTGTGTGTGTGTGTGTGTGTGTGTGTGTGTGTCCTTCCCCAGCTCGGTGTGTGTTTGTGTGTGTGTGTCCTTCCCCAGCTCTATGTATGTGTGTGTTTGTGTATGAGCCTCTTTGTCCCCAGCTCGGTGTGTGTGTGTCATTCCCCAGCTCGGTGTTTGTGTGTGTGTGCGTGCGTGTGTGTGTGTGTGTGTGTGTGTGTGTGTGTGTGTGTGTGTGTGTGTGTGTGTGTGTGTCCTTCCCCAGCTCTATGTATGTGTGTGTTTGTGTATGAGCCCTTCCCTCGGGCTTTAGGTTAAGTTTTGTGTTTTATAGTTTTAGGTTTATCTGCCCTCTGGTTCTGTTCCCATTTAGCTTATTGTATTCACCTGCTTTCCCTCCAGCCCTCACTCCACACACCTGCTTCCTGTTTCCCTAATTGCTCCTCCCCAGTGTATATAAGCCCTGTCTTGTCTCTGTGTTATGTCGGTCCATTGTGATTTATTCTGTCAGTCTGCTTGTTTCCCTAGTGTTTTTTGGATCTCATGATCATGTTCTGGATTTTTGGATTTTGGCTTCCTGCCCTTTTGGATTTATGTTCGCTTGGGTTCATCCTATAAATAAAAGGATTTTTTCTTTATATATCTACTCCTGCCTCGTGTCATCCTGGGTATCTGCATTTTTGGGTCCTAACCATCCTCAAATCGTGACAAGAAGTCCACAGAATGTAGTTAAAAGTCTTCAGCTTGTCCAAAATGCTGCAGCTAGAGTTCTGATGAGAATTACAAAGAGAGATCATATCTCTCCTGTCTTAGCTTCCCTACACTGGCTACCTGTTAATTTCAAAATAGATTTTAAGATCCTCCTTCTCACATATAAAGCTCTTAATAATCAAGCTCCATCATACATCAGTGATCTGATTGTTCCATACGTTCCTAACCAAGCATTTTGCTCTCAGACTGTAGGTCTACTGGTGGTTCCCAGAATATCTAAAATTAGGATGGGAGGCAGATCTTTTAGTTATCAGGCTCCTCTCCTGTGGAACCAGCTCCCAGTCTTAGTCCGTGAGGCAGACACCTTGTCTACTTTTAAGACTAGACTTAAACGCTTTTATTTGATAGGGCCTATGGTTAAAATCTGATGTTAGCCTAGATCTGGACAAGTGGGGGAGTACAGGGAGGTGGAGTGTACAGTCGGTAAAGACGGCTCTCCCTTGCCCTGCCTCCAACATGCCTCCATCTAAAAAGGCTAGGTTATCTAGAGTTATCTCTGTAGTTATGCTGCTATAGGCTTAGACTGCTGGAGGATACACTGACCACTTTTCACACTCTACTACTTTCTTCTACAATCTGCTCTTTAACTGCATTATTTTCTGCAATTTCAGCTGTTAACTTTATTTTCTCTGTAAGTGTTTTTCTCCCCAGAAGAAGCTACAATGATGTTCTGCTGAGCTGTGGTTGCCTCATGGAGGGGGCCATCGTCTAGCACACTGCTGCTAACCACTTAAACATTCTCCTTCTCCTGATAATAACTTTTTGCTTTCCTTGACGTTGGATGTGCTACTGCTAGTTTACCTGTTTAATTATAGATTCACTAGGATAAATACAATAAAGTTTATCTCTTGCCAAATAGAATATTTACTAAGAAATCACAATGCAACCATAGACACATTGCTTGGTGTGTGTTTGTGTGTGTGTGTGTGTGTGTGTGTGTGTGTGTGTGTGTGTGTGTGTGTGTGTGCGTGCGTGCGTAAGTGCGTGCGTGCGTGCGTGCGTGTGTGTGTGTGTCTGCCTGCTCTGTCTTCTCGATCCCCAGTGAGTCGTGGAGGATGGCTGCTTATACTGAGCCAGGATTCTCTGGAGGTTTCTTCCTGTTAAAAGGGAGTTTTCCTCTCCACTGTCGCTATATGCTTGCTTAGGATGAGGATTGCTGTAAAGTCACTGACTTGATGCAATTTGCTGGGTTCCTTATATAGGAAACATTTTTTCTGATTGGCTAGATTGGAATGTTTATTATGTGAAGTGCCTTGAGATGACTCTTGTCGTGATTTGGCGCTATATAAATAAACTTGAATTGAACTGAATTTAATTGAAAAGAGAAAGGAAGAGACAAAAGGGGGTGGTGGTGGTGGGGAGGTTCCACAAAAATAAACAATAATGAACAAGAGTCTGTTTCTAGACCTGCAGAAAGAGGAAAAAAAGGGACACAACAACAATACAACAAGAACAAGCTATCACTGCATCAACTTGATGAAGAAATATATAATCAACATTGTTTAACTGAACAATCACATGATAATAAATCACAGTACATTAAGTGCCCACCATAGCCTTAAGACATGTGTTGAACGTGCCCAAGTCCATACTTTTGAGAGCACCATGTGAGCACCTGTGTGTGTACACACGCTTGTTTATGTAAGGTTTCTCTTTAGCAGCGTCCTATAGAGAGTGTGAGGAGCCACAGATCTGCCACCCAAAGATGTGCAGGAGATGGAGGCAGCTACAAGTCCCAGAGATCCAGGAGCTGCCCCAGAGCACAGGAACCCCAGGGAGACTGTAACCAGAAAAGCCCCCGCCCCCCTCGAGAGGCGCAGAGGATCACCCCGGGGGGCCACAACCAGCAGCCGGCAGAGTCCAAGGAGATATCGGCGGCAAGCCCACAGGCCCGTCCGCAGCCTTGAAATGTGTTTTCAAGGAAAATGCACAAGCTAATTTAGTAATTACCTCCAACAGAGCTGTTGGCAGACCAAGATGGGATTGTGGCACGTCGTTGATAAAACAAGATGTAAGCAGTTAGCTTGCAGACGTCGTCCTCAGATATGGGATGAACATCGCTGTCATCAAAGCAGTACCACTGTCCGTCGATGGAATTCTTACAGTGAGCTAGAAACACACATTTAATCATCACGGAGTGTCTTCATTTAACTGATTACGACTTAAATCCTCATGGAGACCTCAGTGAGTGTGATTACCTGTGTAATGCCCCCCCTGCATGGTGCCATGGTGGTTACACACTGCATACAGGTCATACAGGTAGTCCTCCGGGTCACGCCCCAGCCCGTAAGGTCGTCTCCATGGTGACCAGTGGGAGGGGAGGCTCCAGCTGCTCTGGCTCCTCTTTACGATGTGAGGTGCCATGTCCATACCGTTGAGCGGGAACTTTACCATGTTCTGCATCTTCATGCGTCGGTCCCCATCCTGGAGCATTGAAATCTTTGCAGTGAATTTTTGTTTTTTTTTATAACTGAAATCTAAAAAGATGAGATGGTGTCACTGTGAGGACCTGTCTGAAGCGTTTCAGGTGGAGGATCAGGATGTCAGGAAGTGTCCACAGGCTGAGCTTGATGCTGCCCTGCTGGAGCTGCTTACAATGTGGACACCTCCACGCATCATCAGGGGCAAGCTGACAAGTCATTTAAAAATGTGTTTAGCTGTGACTTTTATTTTATTGGAAAGTAAAACATTTGTAAAAAGAAAAATAAATAAAAGCTCCAGCGTACCTGCTCTTCTTTGGTGTATAGTTGCAAACACTGGGCCAGCGTGCAGTTCTGAGGCTGCAGATGCTGCTCCTTCACCTGCCGTACGCTCTCAGCATCTGGGATGTACTCGTCCTCGGTTCTTTTGAACAGACTGTGGGCATGGCACAGCACCAGTCACACAGGAATAACACAGATCGGTCGTTAGGTTCTGACAGGAGGTGTGACACGTCGCACATCTGCTCCCTGCCTAATGAGCAGCATGCTTTATGTTTGTCACTCACTAGTCTTTTGTCTCCTTGTCCCATTCAACCACTATTTTGACATGAGGTGGTCCTCCTGGACCACACGACTTGAACGCCCTGTTGGACGAAGGAAACGAGAACAGTTGTTTTTTTATGTTTGGCTGTAAACATATTTAGAGGATCAGAGGACAGAGTCGTCTTGTTTTATGCATTAACACGTTTGTGCACGCACTACAGGAACAACGTTTTATTGACTTTATATAGCATTAGATCCATTCAGAGGACCAAAAAACTGCAGGAAGATTTTGTTTCCCTGTTTTTAGATTAAAGACAAAATATCAAGAAAATTCCTAAATATTTTCAGAAAAACAAATTCCTCTTTTGAAAAAATAAAGTCTAAATATCAGGCAAAATGGTTTCAGAATAATAAAAGTCAAACAACCTCTAGCGTGAAACTAAAATGTTGACTAAAGGACGATAATCTGTTTTAAAATGAAATGTCAAGAAGAAATAGTCCCTGCATGACCAGAATAAAGCGTATTTAATTCTCCCACAGCTGCTTCACCTGCCAATCTTCCTGAGTAGATGTTTATTAGTAGCAAATACTTTTAAATAGTCGTGTCAGATATCCTTTAGCTGGACCTTGTGTGTGTTTACCAGCCTTTTCTAAGCTGTTACATAAAAGTTTAACAATCAAACCTCCCAAAGTCTCAATCTGACACGTTGCTTTATCTCTATAGATCATTTTGAGTGGTGTAACACTGCCCCCTGGTGGCGGTGGAAGGTGATACCTCTCCACAGATGGATGGCAGAGCGGCTGCTCCTCCTGAGGCAACAGATAGGTGATTCCAACCACTCCTACCACACGCAAGGTGAATGGCCCCACCTGCAGGCCATCAGGCATAAAACATTATTCATCTCAGCAAATTAATACAAGAAAGTCACACAAAAAAAAATGTAAACCTGAACGAGTACACCAGGCCGCAGAAGATGCTTCATTTTCTCCAAGATCTCAGTCTGCAGCACATCCCATGTCACCGTACGCTCCAGGTAGAGGATGAAAGGATTCCCAAATCTACAGATATGATAAAGGTTATGAGGTTTTGAATGCAGAAGTTTAAAATTTCATCTGGTTCCTGCTGATGGGAGTACCTGCGTCCCTGCTGTCCAGCGCAGGCCCTGTTGCACACCAACAGCACGATCTTCTCAGCCTGCCCACTGTTCTTATTGGGACTCTGAGGTGGAGTGGTGGGCTCTTGGATCTGCGCGGATATGCGGTTATTCTCTGTGCCATACTTCAAATTGTTGTGATTGAGATTTAAATGTGGGCTTCCTGAAATTTAAAAAACAACAACATTGTGGCTTCCTGCGTGGGAGTGTGTGCTGCAGCGTTCTGTTCTGAGGAGACGTTTTACCGCCACGTTTCGAACGGATCTGATCTGGTCTGAAGAGCTCCGGCGTCTCGAACGCAAAGATGGAGTCGCTCTCCTGAATGATTTCCAGGTCTTCGTCGTCATCACAGAAGGAGCGATGAAAGCCATCGAAGTACATCTCCGTGAGGACGATCTGGACGGGGACAGTGGACAGAACCGGTGTGTGGGCTGTCTGTGCTCTGAATTAGTCACACATAGGGTATAAATGTAGGAAACACAGCAGATTCATCTAGTACTCCATAGTTCAGCTCCTTTATGAAAACTGAACCCTGGCTTTGGGTGAAAGGCTCTAAAAGGTGCGGCACCTGCTGGGCAGGGATTTTGGTCTCTTGTTCCACAGCTCGTCTCAACCTGGACACGGTCCCCGACAGAGGCACGGCCACCCCAACTCTCATGCAGTGTGAGCACTTTCCTTGGTACACCACCGTCACATACAGAGGTCTGCAACACACACACACACACACACACACACACACACACACACACACACACACACACACACACACACACACACACACACACACACACACACACACGGAAACTGAATTGTGTTTCATCACCACGCCTGGTCTGGTGTTGCTAAAATAGATGACAGGATCTAATTTTAGCGCTGTCCTGTCACACGTTTGTTTGGATTTGACGCCGCTTTCATGGCCGAGTTCCAACTGAGTCTTTTATCTCACAGTCGTTCTTATAATTTCTTATCTTTCATTCATCTAGGCTCTTTAGTCCTAAACGAGAGTCTGCTTACCGTGTGTGAGGAACTGGGATTGGCAGTGAGATGCAGAGGAAAGGATCGAAGGTGTTGCTCTGCTTCTGGCAGTGAGGACAAGTCAGGGACGACCTGATGAGACAAAACTGTGATCTGAAACTTGGACGATAACATTATTAGCCTGAGAGTGATGAGCAGTGTTTCATGTTCACCCTCCTTTGCCACTTTATCCTGTTAAAAAGAATTTAATTGGCGTGGCCTTCCATTAATTATTTTAGCACATAGTGGCTCAAGAAAGGATTTAAAAATATGAAAAAGTTGCAAAGTTTCCCTTTAACCCCCCAATAATGAGTGTCAAGCAGGGAGGCCTTGGATCCCATTTTTAAACAGCAAGTCACCCCCTACCAGAGTCCTACTCCACTCCCACTTCCTGTTTGAAAACTGCAACAAATGCCTTTGCCTGGCAGACCGAGAGGAAGGCGTGGCTAACAAATACACACACACAGGCTCAGAACAGCATTGTGACATCATAATGTACCAGCTAACATCATAATGTACCTCTTGGCCACTAGTGATGGAAGATTTAAATTCAAATGCAGTGCAGATGTTTTACCTGAAGACAGCACAACACTTGACAGTTTCAGGCAGAAAATTTTTCATTTTCACTAAGATGCACTAAAGTGCCTAATTATAGACTACATGTGTCTACAGCACGGTTAGACACTCATTTATATAGTTTATCAGCATAAAGAAGTTGATTTGGGAGTGACTTGCTCTTTAAAGTCTTTGGTATGACCCGACCGTGGATTTGAACCCCGATCGTACAGTCTCAGGCAGACATTCATACCACTAGGCCACTGAGCTGGTCAGGGCAGGGTAATTTAATGAGTAGTCAGACTAAGACAGATACTTTTACCTGTATTGTGCCTGAAACAGCTCCTGCACAAAAGAGCCAGGGGCTGGTAGCGGAGATCCTTCAGGGGCTGTTTCTTCCTCCACTGGAGGCTGACCAAACAGGGCAGAGAGCTACTTGACATTACTGCACATTTCAATAGCTACAGCGGTCAAACTAAAGAGGTATACCAAAACATTACAATTCACCTTCCTGGGGGGTCTGCTGTCAGGGTGGACGATCTGGTTCAGGTCTTCATGAACCCTGTCCAGCAGCCAGAGGAGGAATTCCTGGGCATCATGCTGGGAGTTACCTCTGAACTGCAGGGCGCTCTTCGACACCACGTTCTGCAACCAGCATGGGAACAGTTTTAGAGATTTGCACCACCTATCGATTAGCCACTCTGCAAGTGCTACTTGTGTTACTTTGACATTGTCTGTTCATAAAATATTCAGAGGGTGTGGGCGGGACGGTGATCAGCGTAGCCTTAAAGGTCAGCAGAAGATCGTTTTGGTACTGAGCAGAAGAAAAGGACAGAGAGAATCCAGAAGGTGATAAACAGTGTGTTTTCTCCTGAAGAAGGAAGCTGGGGAGTCACCTCTTCTCACGCTGGCTATCAAATGTCAGGTATGAAGCATGAGCACAGACTAGACTAACAGCCTTGGTTTGGAGGTGTGACAAAAACTGTCTTTCAGAGATAAAACTGCAATAAAAAGAAGAACAAGGCAGAAAGAAAACTCACTTTAAAGTAGAACATCTTGGCAAAAAAAGGTAAGTTTCATGAATTGGTGTACTCTGTTAGTGAAATGACTGTCACCACTAGTCTGGACTCACTGCTTCTGAATAAAAATCTAGTAAATAACAACGCTGAATGAATTACACCCATCCAGGTCTAAGCAGTAGAAGCACTAGTTCACTAAAAAAAAGTCAGAGAATGACACAAATCTGAATTTTAGCAAAGTTTGCTGCCTCACTTCTCGTTCTGGAAGTTAGTAAAAACTCCAGAATATTTAAAAGAGTAGTTAGACGAATTACAAACACTGACAAGTTTCCTCTTTGAGATGAAGACTGATGCATTTCCAGAACACTTGAGGCTTCAGGGCACAAAAAGAATCAAGAAACAGCATAGATGGCTCCTAAAACAGATCCAGCTGCAGGATCAGAGTACCATCAGGGAGGCCTGGTGTGAAGATGGGCAGCAAAGATTCCCTTTTATCACTGACAATGAGTGAAGAGGTAACTGTGTAAAGTAACAATGTTTATTAATGGTGAAAGTTTTGTAACCATTTTTTACAAATCAGTAAATACATTTTGTCCTCACTGGCTTCCGTAAAAGAAAACATGGCATTTAATATGGTGTCACCCAGAGACTTAGACCCGCTCCATGTACTTTAGAACAGATTTTTATGGTTAAATGTTATGAAACTGCCAATATTTTTCATCAAGTGGGCATCTTTTAATTCATTTAGAACAATATTTTGATGGATCTTTTCAGAGATTAACAATAAAAACTACACATTGTCACTTTAATAAAGCAATGTGGCAGGCAGATGAAGAGTGAAGGCGGAAGCTAACACCAACACTGAATGCCTCAAACACCCATGGTTGCTGGCAATCTGTGAGTGGAACGCCCAAAGCCAAGTCCAGAGAGCTTGGCGTGAACCACCAAATCATTACTGATAGAGGAATGTCACAGCGTGGTCAGTCCCTTGACCAACCTCCTCACTTATTACAACATGACACAACAAGTAACACCACATTTGCAACACCGAACAAAGTAATAAGTAAGAACAAATGACCCACAATAAACATGCATAAACACCCCCAAATAGAACTAAATAACTAAAAACACGACTACCCACAATGCACCTCGCCCACCAGTTCTTTATTGTCCTGGGTTGTTTTTCCTATAGGTCCACAAATATATATGTCTGTTTATCAAACACACTTTAAGGTGACGTAAAGATGAATAAAGTAGAAACATAAAATTATAAATTAATCACTTTTTAGTTAAGTTTACTCATTCCAGTTAAGTTGTTCTTTATTCATTTAATTAGGTTACGCTTACAAAAAAAGGAAATGGTTCAGGTTAATTAAAAAGTTTGAGTTCTATGTACCTAAAACAAGGAAAAGGCAGAACTAACTCAACACATTTGAGTTAAAAAGAAACTATTTTAAAATTATAAGTTTCACCTACTCAAAATATTTTATTATTTTCAACAATTTGGGTTTACAGTGAAGTATTGAGCTTCCATCAGTTAGAATTTGGTCCAGAGGTTGATTAAAAGCATGTTATTGTAACCATAGAAACATCAGATGAAATTATCTTAAAAAAAGAGCAGACTTTGTGAAAACCGAAACTTAGTCTTTCTTTAACCTTTTACCTACAAAAACTCTTAATTTGCTGAATTCATATTTAAAATCACTGTGTGCAGAAATGAAGTCTTTATTCCCCCACAACTTCTTACTTGCGCTCTCACATCAAACCCAACTTTTAAGTGGAAACCCATGAAAATGGCTTTTTCAGCCAGGTGGTTCCTTCGAGGTTCAGAGGAAGTATAACGGACAGAAAATGTGTTTTATAGACGATCAAGATTACTCATCAGGTTTAATCGTATTCAAACACACTTTCAGCTATAACTGGCTCCAGCTGTTTGTTTCATTATCAGACAAACTGATACAAACCTGCTAATATACCTGGTAAGAGTCTGATGAGATCCATGAATTCATGTTTGAAAAAGAAAATTGTTTGGTGATATATTTGCAGATATTTCCAAAACTATAAGATAAAATACACAACTGTTGACACTTTTTAGTGCACATTTAATTTACTCTGAGTTATTCCGAAATATTTATTTCAAAATGAGTTTTAGCTGCAATCAAATTTCTAACTAAGATTCATAAATCTCCATCACTTACAATAACTTCATTACCCCGTTCAATAAAATCTCACTGCTATTAAAAATAAAGCCTCTGTATCCACTCAGACTGTCTGTCCTCTTGCTGGCAACAGAGGTAGAAAAAGAGACAGAAATAGTAACGCTGTCAAAAATAAACTGACCCTGTGATGTTTGGCTTCTTTTTGTACTTCAGCTGTTAGAAAAAATGTGTTATGAAACTGAAAAATAAGCAACAAAAACCAGGTTTGTGGCGGGCCTGTGTCTCATGTCTGGATGGAGGTTTGAGTGAATCCAGCTGCAGAAGCGGTCAATAGTACACTCCTAAGATCATTTTTCTATGCATATTCATCCATCCACCCATTCAGTCATCCATCTTCCTTCACTTATCTGGAGTGGGGTCACGGGGGCAGCAGCCTTAGCAGGGAGGCCCAGACTTCCCTCTCCCCAGCCACTTGGGCCAGCTCCTCCAGGGGAATCCTGGTGTTCCCAGGCCAGGTGAGAGACATTGTCCCTCCAGCGTGTCCTGGGTCTTCCCTTGGGTCTTCTCCTAGTTGGACGTGCCCTGAAAACCTCACCAGGAAGGCATCCAAGAGACATCCTCCATGTGGAGGAACAGTGTATCTACTCCGAGCCCTCCAGGATGACGGAGCTTCTCACCCTCACTCGTGAACAAAACCCTGAGATACTTAAACTCCTCCACTTGGGGGTGGACCTCGTCTCTGACGCGAAAAAGGTATTCTACCCTTTTCTGACTCAAGACCATGGTCTCGGATTTAAAGGAGCTGATTCTCATCCAGCTGCTTCACACTTGGCTGTGAACCGCTCCAGTGAAAGCTGGAGATCATGTTCTGATGAAGCCAACAGGACCACATCATCTGCATAAAGCAGAGACCTGATGCTAAAGCCACCAGATGCATATTGGAAACTTAGGTTAGCGTTACACTCACAAATTAAAAAGTGTCATCCCTACAGAGTGTGTTTGTGTAGCCTGGCCTACCAGACACGTCCTGTTTAATTCTGCACAGAGAAAGAGTCTGGTTACTCACAGGCAGAGAGGCACATGAGGGGCGGGACTAGGCAGCTCAAAAATAACCAATGTCGACTGTACCGTGTGACGCTGTAGTCAAAAATGGCGTCTGGCAACGACACAAACATCTTTTATTTTTTTTAGAAGAAATGGTTTAAGCGCTTCTTTACTTGTTGTTTTAAAGACATTCAAGTCATTTAGAACAGAGGAAAGAGCCGCAGCGAACTCCGCCGCTGTCTTCGTTGTTTATGAGAAACTGAGCATCGCTGTGTGTGACGTACGCGACGCTGGAGCTTTTTAGCTGTAGTCAAAAACGGTGTCTGGCGACAGCGCAAACAAAACTCTTACAGCGCTACTTGTTGTTTTAAAGATGTGTCCAAGTCATCTAGAATAGAGGATAGAGCTGCAGCAAACTCCGCTTCAGTCGCCATATTAATGATAATCTCGGCGTTGTGGTGTGTGACGTACTCTACTCAGCTCTGATTGGCTCGGTTAGAATTCTCAGGGGGAGGGTCTTTTTTAATAGGAGTGTTCCCAGACAGATGAGGAGTCTGGCAAGCCAGGCTAGTATTTGTGTGCAGTGTTAGAAATGATTAAAATCACAGGTTTTCTAAAATACTTAAGGCTGGAAACCCCTCATGGCTACATGAGAACTACCCTGTAAAGAAGAGTGGGACAAAACTCCTCCATAGTGATCAAAAACACTAGATTAGAGCAGGAACTATGACGTGTTTGGGGGTCACTTACTTTTTCACTTTTTCCACTTGGTTTGAATCCCCTCTAAATCATCATTTTGTATTTCGTCAGGTAGATGTTGACCACAGCCTACCTTGAAGTCTCTGCTGTGCTGAGGGGTGTACTCAAAGGTCCAGAGAGCCCGAACCAGACCGGACAGCTGCTCGGTGACCTCCCCGGTCTCCTGCGGCTGGCTGGCGGCCTTCTTCTGCACCAGGACCCCATTGGACTTGGCCTTGTCGTTGTCGCTGCCCGTCTCTTCTCCTTTAAACTGCTCCAGAGCCAGGTACTCAGCGAACAGCTCCGTGTTGCTCAGGCACTGTAAGATAGCGTTCATGAAGCAGGTGTTGCCATGGTTTTTCAGCCCGGCAACCCCCGGGACCTTGTCCCCGAAAGGGAACCCTCCGCAGTCGCTGTCGTCAGATGGGACCGAGCCCCCCGTGGTGTTGGGAACTAAAGTTGCCTCGGCCTTGTCTGCGGCGGCGGCGGCGGCTTGCTCGTCGGTACCGAAATGAGACAGAGTGGACAGAGTCCGTAGAACTCTGTTCATGAAGCTCCCCACGGAGCGGACTGAGCTCCTGCGGAACAGCTTCTTGCTGAAGGATTTCTTCTCCTTGTTACTGACAACTTTCGACATGATGGAGATGCTGATGGGGTTTTTCCCTGGTGTTAAATCTCCTCACATGTCATCACCTCCCATCAAGGCCTGGTGGATCTGGGGACCAGAGCTGGGTCCTATCACCCAACTTGCAGCACGGCGTTGGGTTGCACAAACAACCTCCGTGGAAAGCGATGGTCAGGGTGAATCCCTGGGCCAGTCCCACTCCAGCCAGCAGCCATTATTATCATCATCATCATCCGGATCTGCCAGAAAAACGCATGTGTCATCCTTCAGCTACAAACACACCAGCTCTAAGCAGGAGGAGAAACGCCGAATCAATTAGTGTGAGTGGCTGGTGGGATTCCTCATCCTTTATTAAACCGCAGCTCCACCCTGCTGAACTTCGCGGACCCGTTGTTCGGACAGAGAGTCTCAGTACGGGTGTGTTTATTGATCCGTCTTCTTCCGTAATCCACGGGAGCTCCGATCAGCCGAGGAAGCCCCCCGACCGGAGCGGCACGGTCCGCCGCTCCCTCGCCTCCTCCCGCGGACAGGCATCGCTTCTCCGGCGCCGTGTCCCCATCCCAAACTTCTCTTTCCTGTTGGCTTTTTTCTTCTTCTTCTTTTTTTTTTATCTTTGCTTTAATGTTAAAATCCCTTCTTTAGTATCTCAGAATCCTCCCGCTTTTATTTCCGCCTCCGGATGGGCTTCATCACGGCGAGGCCGCTTCTCCCGTCTCCATCATCAGTTGTGGACACCGACACTGCAGGCAGGGCGGTGACGGCTGACGTCAGGCCTGCGCGCTGGTCCATGTTGGAGGAGAGCAGGTAGAGCAGCCGCCTGTGATGCTGGCGGATACTGGTGATGATGATGCTCCATCCGAGCTGCGCGCACGCGGGCAGCCAATCGGCTTCCTGGAACACATAAACTGCTGTAACCTATACGTTCATGCCAGGGCAGGAAGTTTCCAGCGGAAGTGTCCAGAAAAAACATGATGTATCTAGATGTCTGGAAAAAAGTGCAAAGGAATAATTTCCTGCCTAAATGTCATGAAAGGGGTTGGTATCCTTTCAGATAAAAATTGTTAAAATGTGGAAAACATTCAACATCGGTGCTGGTCATAAAATTAGAACATGACAAAGTTAATTTATTTCATTAATTCTATTCAAAAAATGAAACTTGTACATTAGATTCACTCAGACTGATATATTTCAAATGCTTGTTTTTCTGATGATTCTGACAACTACTGACAATCCCAAATTCATTAATTCTCAGAAAATTACAATATTGAAAAAAGGTTCAAAACTGAAGACAGTCTAATAAGCTAATTCACTCAAATGCCTGCAAAAGCCTTTAAATGGTCTCTCAGTCTAGTTCTGTAGGCTACACAATTATGGGGAAGACCGCATACTTGACAGTTGTTCTAAAGACGACCATTGACACCTTTCACAAGGAGGGCAAGACACCAAAGGTCACTGCTAAAGAGGCTGGCTGTTCACAGAGCTCTGTGTCCAAGCACAGTAATAGAAAGGTACAGGGAAGGACATGATGTGGTAGAAAAAAGTAGAGAAAAATAGAAATAACTGCACCCTAGAGAATTGTGAAACAAAGCCCATTCATAAAAGTGGACTGCAGCTGGAGTCAGTGCTTCAAGAACCACCACACACAGATGTATGCAAGACATGGTTTAAGCTGTCGCTTTCCTTGTGTCAAGCCACTCTAGAACAAGAGATGGTGTCAGAAGGAATATTTCTATAAAAAGTGTGCTTTAATAATATTTTGAGTCATTGATTGTAACCGAGGCTTTTGGGTCTGTTTTTACCAACTACAATAACAGCTTTTTTTTAATAAAGTGCTTTCAACGTGCTGAACAGCAAAAAGATAAAAACAGTAAACATAAAGAACTACAATAAAAAACAAAACTAAGCATCAAATTTCAGGCACATGAAAAGTTGGCCTTTAGCTTAGCCTTAGAAAACTCTAGAAAGGTTTCCACACCAATTTCTTGAGGTAGATTGTTCCACAATGATGGTGCAAGAAAAGAAAAAGCAGGTTCCCTAATATAATCTTCCATTAAAAGGGCCATGCCCAGAAGGTCAGAAGTGTTTGAAGGGACCAGACTGTTTAAAGCCGTGTGTGTGTGAGCAGCAGGACCTTAAAGCAACCCAAACCTCAGTGAGGAGAGGACAGTATTGGTGTAATGTGCTCTAAACAATTGGGCTTTTTTTTATTTTCATTTTTTTACAAAGTTTCGTGTTTGCCTTCCTCTGGAGCACAGCACATCTGAACGATCCTCCACCCTTCACAATAAGAGTGTCATACACACACACACACACATACAACAAAACATCTCAAACTTATTAAAAGTTTGAGTTTTCCTGAAAAGCATAAACATTTTTTAAGCTTCAGATGTTTTGATGATTTGTTTTGGGTTTAACACTTTTATTGTGAAGGATTAGAGCACATTATAGTTTACTCAGCAAAAACCATTGCTAATCATGGTTAAAATATTAATATAAATAGAACAAATCTGGAGCGCGGCTTTCTTTAAATAACGTTCTTAAAACTTTTTTCTGCAGTCAGTTTGTCAAATTTTCTTAACATTTTTCTTATTTCTCCTCAGCAGCCCTTATGCATCACCTGATTTAAAAACTGGGAACCTAAAGCAGACATATCCGATCCCCATCACTAGCACTAGTTATTACGTGGTACCGTTTCAGCAAACCTATGTAAAATGCATCAATGCAGTTATGGATGCCTGACGCCAGACATTAGTTTTGGCTGATGTCAAAAGCAATCTTTCTAAACCATCAAGTAAGCAAACACAGCTGATTAAAAACAATCAAAGCTTCTTTAAACTCGTAAATATGATCATTCTCAAATGTAAACAAGCATTTGATTCCCCAAAAAGTTGAGAAAATAAGCAATTCACAAAGACAGAGCTTTTGTTTGAAGTGCATTTTAATTTTATTCATCTATAGAGTATAAACTGCACTTTTGCATTGAAGAAAGGGGAAACTGGAATAACTAGAAGTCATAAACAAAATTGCACTGAAAATCATTAATAAATAAATAAATCATAGAAATTATTTTTGAATTGTGGCTTAACAGAATCATTTCAAACAGCAGACTACAAGAATGGGCCCTTCTACACCCGTGAGGTTATAAAGCTGCTTACCCTAGAAAGTGTAAATAAATAGAATTGTTTCTCTGTGCAAATAAAACAGGACCCTATATTCTAATAGTATCAATCTTTTATTTACAGATTTTCGCAATGAAAACAAATAGAAAAGCTAAATCCTCTGCCCAAAATAAAACGTACAGCCTCAGTCAGCCACGACATAAAAACAGTTTTCTCCTTACACTGGATGAAAGGGTTCCCTTAACAAAGATCAGGTTATAGGAGCAACGCCATCTCTGAATAATACAGATTTTACGTGTTCCCCTTTTTATAAACACAGGAAACAGAAGTAAGTGACACATTTAACTCAGAGGAAACAAGGAATGAAACAGTAAAAAACAAAATCCCGATTTCAATGTTTTAATATTACCGAGGCTCCACGTCGTAGTGAAGCCAACAACAGTAAACCAGTTCTAACAAAGCCACATTCATGGTTTTGTTTACTACACAGGAAGTCTCTGATGATGCCCGTGGGCTCTTCATACCTACAGAGTCCTTTCCTCGGCGTTAGTAGTCGATGCTCCGGAGAGCGGCGATGGTGGAGGCGAGGCGTCGGGGCAGCAGCTTGGCCGTCTGCCTGTAGTCTTCAGGTTTAGCCCTCAGCAGCGCGACGATGTGCTGGAGCGTGCGGGACGGCTGGAGGCCCAGAGCGTCCATCACGTTGCTCAGATAGTCTGGAGAACAAACGGGCGACCCAAACGTAAACATTTTTTATTTAAAACACACGTGTGTTCCACGCACAGCCATGACCTCTACCGATATCTGTGGCCAGCTGTTTGGTGAAACGGGGAGTGAGTTGGGGAATCAGCAGAATGGCATCACAGTAGGTCTGCATGGTTGCCCTGGCGATGGAACCCAGCCAGTAATCTGCTGTGTTGTCCAGCTCAGGAATGTCGTCACCTGGGGAGAAAAGTCGTTGGGAGAGATTTGATACAAATGAAGAGACCTGTGTGAGGAGTGAAGGTAGAATCATCTGTCGGTAACCTTGCTCCGGAGGGAAAGGCAGCTTCCCAGCATGTAAGGCCATCTCCAACGCAGAGTCCTCCTGGGTCACGAAAGGCTCCAGGTGAAGCGGCAGAGACATCAGGTACTGTCCTATCTACAGTGGAGGGAAATAAAACCAGGAAGTGGCGTTTGATCCCAGTAAAAGTAGTTAAATAAACACGCTGTAGCCGAGAGAAGGACGACTCGACTAACATTTGTGATGTACTCCTGTGGTGACAGGCTGAACGTCGGCAGGTCTTCTGTGTAGCTCTCTCCGATACCAGCAGCCCCATGAGTCTTAGGAGAACAAACCAAACAGAATTAAACATCCCAACACCCCACGCTCCGCACTCACGCTGGATCTGAAATCAAATCATCCAGAAACTCGACACCTCCATCTTGGAGACGAGGCAGAGCTGGTGTTTGATCTGCAGGAAGACGGAGTCGAAGGCCAGCTGGTTGGCCTGCTGATTGAGTCTGATCAGAGCTGATCTGGGCTCAGCTAACAAGCTGGAGTTGCCTGTGCCCTTTTCCTGCAGGAGGATGGGAAACAGGCATGAGAGGAGCAGCAAAGGGAAGGGCTGCTGAACCCATCACACAAAGCTCTACGCCACACCTTTAATGAGTAAAGGACCTCCATCAGGTTGTTGTACTCAGCCACGTTTCCTCTCTGAAGGTAGTTGTACTCCTGCCATGGGTTTTTGGTGGCACTCTTCCTCTCGGCGGAGCTGGCCTCCTGGATGCCTGCCAGACTGCGAGGGCTGTACGACTCTGATAAGTACTTACCTGCCGTGCTCAGGATCCTGCAAGAGGACGGATTATGAGGAATGCACACTTCTTCATGTGATCTAGTTATAAAACTGTCCAACAACATACAGACATGGAAACTGTTGCTGATACCCTTCTGTTAAAGACACAAACCCAAAAAAGTCAAAGGAAGTTGATTTCTTATTACAATCAGAAATACAGTTTGACTATCCATCTGATCAACCTGAGGTTGCATGTCCTCTTAGGTCCAGATCCAGGGAGGACGCTACACCCCCGTGGACTTTAAACTCACAGGAACATCCAGCTGGTCACAGATGGTCTTCTAGCCTTTAATGGTTTCTCGAAGCTCCTGAGACAACTGTGCCCCATCTGCTGTCTGTGTTGGCTGTGGTACACACCCAGATACCAAACTGCGCTGTGACTACCCGTGACCCTTTAAGCAGGCCGACTGACTGACCACAGAAAACACCTTTGATCAACACGTTTCCATGGTCACTTCATTTTCTTTCCAGTCCAGTTTCACCAACTCATTTCTGTTATTCCACTGAACCACAGTTTAAAAGGAACATCTGATTTTCATTTGCTTCCAGGATTTTTAAAGGGCTATTACATTTGTCCGTTTGGGAGTCTTCCATTCTTTAACACAAGGGTATCTACAGTGTTAGATCGATACCAGTAAACTGTTTCAGGAGAAAAGATAAAAATATTCGACACAAACACTGCTCTCACTTGTTGGACAGCTGCTGCTCAAACGCTCCACACTGTCTCAGCAAATCTCCACACGTGGCAATAATCCTGCAAAGACCCACATGGTGAACAATAGTTCCTCCTTGATTTATTTGAAAAGTTTAGCCGCTGACCTGACTGAATTCTGAAAGGCCGTCCAGTCCTCCTGAAAAGCAGACGAGCTTGGCACCTCCTCAAGTTTACACTTCTTCCTGACTGACTGGAGCGTTGTGGAGAAGTCCGACACATACCTGGAATGGACCGTTTGTGTAAGCCGGCAGCATCACCTGATCTATTTCTATCAATACTGCATCAAAACTAAACCTTTTCACAAAAAAAACCCAGTCATTTAATTATGGAAAGAAGTTTACAGGAGGGCAAAAAAGTATTTGGCAGCAAACGAGGGAAGTCTTTAACCGTGAGAGACGGAATGTAAAAAAATAAATCCAAGAAATCACAGAATTTATTTGTTTGATTTTTTTCGCCCCGAAATCTCATGATACACATCCCCATCCACCCTTTCGCTGGAGTTTTTGAAAATTAAAAATGTGCCCATATTTTCTAAGTTACACACATCTCTTCTAACAACGGTAGATTCTGCATCTTGCTTCACCCATCTCCCCCCTCCCCCTGCTTCACCCATCTCCCCCCTCCCCCTGCTTCAGCCCTCTCCCCCTCCCCCTGTGCCGCGGCCGCAAACTCACTGATGCGCCTGCAGCCTCTCAGAGTTCCTGCTGCTCTAAACATTAAAATAATTATTTCATTTTCTGTTCCTCACTTCTGATTACCTTCAATGGTGTCTGTTTGTTGCAACCACCAGGTACAAAACCTAACTTGTTTTTATTTGACTTTTTCTGTCCTGTCTGTTTATTATCTTCCTGCATCTCCTCTCAATCCTAAAGAAAAACTGCTACCTGGGTTCATATATATTCACCTTATGAGTTACCTTTGAACTGCAGTTCTAAAAGATCTACCGACCGCAAAAACAGCGGGGTGCGCGCCGGCCGCATCAGTGAGGTGAAATCACCGGAGGACAAAGCAGGTGATGCGCTCCGCTCCACAGCAGCGAAACGCGTCAGGCACAAAATAAAAGACAGAAAACATAAAAGGAAATGAGCCGACATGAACAATCGCATGTTCAATTTGTTTTTGAGGTGGCGACACCTGATTTGATAATGTTACTGTGGCCGTGCTCAGGACGCAGATTCTGGAGCGCGTCAACAATCAGAGCTTTGCATGCACAAGCTGGTTAAGGTTAGGATGGGGGTGAGGGGAATGTTAAATTGCAAGAGGGTAAACGTCACAATTTGGTCAAATGTCCGTTTTATGGCGGGTTTCAGTACTGACGCTCTGGCACAGCGCGTTGCCTCCCGACACGCAGGAGCTTGTCACCTGCTGTCTTTTCCGAGGACTGCATCTGCCGGTCATTATCACATGACAACGACCAGTCGATGACGGGCATAAAAAGTCACTACAGAGCAGTGGTCGACTAGTTCATACAAACCCCAGTAGACAGGTGTCTTAATGCAGATAACAAGTTCAAACAGACGTCATTAAAACAGGAAATGAGTGACGGATAGAAGAGCTTCTTAAAGGAGGAGGAGCAGGTCATTAAGGGCAGAAGTCTTGCTTGTTTGTAGGCACTAAATACTTATTTTCTGCATCGTTATACAAATAAAAAAAAATAAAAAAATCATACAATGAGATTTCCTGGAACTAATTGTACATTCTGTCTCTGCCAAATAATTTTCTGCCCCACTGTATCACAGATCTGCTCTGAGAGTGAGAAAGGCATCCTTACTTGGTGAAAAGGGCTTTGAGAGCTTTGAGGAGACCACACACGGCGAGTCCATCAGTCAGTCTGACACAGCGGTCCACCGCAGCACCAGCCAGACCAAACAACTTGCCCACTGAGTGGCTCAGCTCTTCTACACAATCAATTACCTCCCCATGCTCCTAAAAGCAGACACAAAGAGGGGAGGTAATCACAGGAACAGAACAGGAATCAGACGGTCCTTAGAACAACAAAAGCATCTAACCAGCGGGACGGCGCTGATCTGGATGAGGAGGAAAGCCTCCTCCAGCTCTCCGTACTGTAGCTGGAATGGTTTGTAGGGATCATACAGTGCAGAGACCAGCTCGTTCACCTTCAGTAGGTTATTCTCACCTGGTTGAGGGGAATGGAAACAGAAAATAAGGACCACAGACATCCTCTGTGTGTCTTCAGTAAAGTCTGTACAAACCCAAGTGAGGGAGCATGGCCGCCTCCAGGCTGAGTCCAAAGGTGGACGTGGTCTGATGGAGCTCCAACAGCGTGTCCAGGCGCTCCTCTGGAGCAGCACGGTCCATGGCAGTGCTCAGGCACACGGGGATGGACGGCACCATGGCCCCCAGGGTCTGGATCAGCAGCACTGTCACCACCTCATATGGGTTCTTGAACACCTGCGTTAGTTTCACATCATGGGTTAGGCTTATTCATCACTTTGGTGCAACTGATTTATAGTAAATCCTCGTCTCACCTGGCTGCTCCACTGGACCTGAGAGTGCCAAGTGGAGAGCAGGGTGTCGTAGAACTCAGACAGCCACTGATTCAAAGCCAGCTCGGTCTGAGAGAGGTCCCGCCATACGCCCACCAGCTGGCCCTGGGGACCCATAATCAGATGTTTAGTCACAGATTATCTGATGGAGAATTCAGACAGAAAAGGATCAGCGGCACTCACCTTGTGGCACTTGTAGTAGTACGCTAGGAGCTGTGGCATTCTGTCAATCTCTGTGAAGACTTTAACAAACAGCTTGGCTTGCTCTGCAGACAGAACAGAGAGAACACTGAAAGCAATCCAATTTAAGTGAAGATCATGAAGAAAACCTTGTGTTTTTACCTATAGACATGGAGTTAAAGGTGGCTACTATCTGAGGGCTGGCCATGGCCTCCAGTCTGTTTTTCAGAGCCTCAAGGTGGACACACTTCTCAGAATAATCTGGTGTGTCCACTAGCATGGCCAGGCTGTTCTGCATGCTTGTCAGCTTGGAAGAAATGACAGCAAGGTCCTAAAAAACGAAAAGGGTTTTAACTAAACATCATTTTAGCAGTTGTAGATCTAACAAAATCTGTAAAAAATGGAGGCATGTAAAATTTCTACCTGAGTTTTGAAGGTCTCTTCGATGTCTGCGCTCAGCGTGCTCCATTTGTCTGCCTCCTGAAGAGCCTCCACAGCCTGCTGCATTCGACCTTTCACCTGATCTATTTCCACCAGCACCTGATCACAAAGAATTTGTTACTTTTAAGTGGCAGACCACCAGGTGTGTCACCATGTAGTGAGGGGAATGCTCACACACCTGCATGGACTGCACAGTTTCCTGCTCAAACTTCTTTATATCCTCCTTCACGAGGACCATCTGCTCCTTTAAGAAGGTCGCCTCCTGTTTCAGAGCGTCCGCGTCGCGCAGCACCCGCGGCATGTTCTGCAGGGCTTGGATACTGGACTCTACACAAAGATTCACAAAGCATTGTAGCTTAGTCTTTAAAACACACAAAAATAATGTTTTTTATGATAGGTAAAACATAAAAGTCATGATTTACAAGTGTGTGTTTGTTTTATACAAGATCTAAATGCAGAGGTGTATCAAAACACCAGCTGGTGATCAGAATCAGTCAATACTCACAAAATAACATGAATAAATCTGACTTCTTGCCCCCAGTCTGCAAAGTCACAAAGCTGCAGTTTGCATTCTCATCACCAGATCTTCCGTGTGAGAGCTTTCACTTCCAGAATCAAGAGTTTTCAATGCAATTGGGACGTTTAACAAAAGTTAATGTTATTTTAGATAAATCAGTTTTAGCAGGTCCATACTGAACAATAATGAGAAGTTAGCACCGGCTCACAAAACCAGAATCTGAGTTTGAGCCTAGGAGGAGATCAAAGACTCATAACGATTGTTTAAAATCTGACCAGCAGCTGTAACGTAAAACAAAAATAAGATGTCCTTTATTCAGAGTAAAAATCTGTTATTGGCTTTAGGAGTCACTCATTTCCTAATTTAAATTCCTTTAGTGCAACAACTTTGTCTATTTTTTGACATTTTATGTCCAAAACTTCTCGCCTCAGTTTGTTTTCATTAGTTTTGTTGATGAGTTATAGTGGTGATGTTATCTTGGAATGTAAATGACAGCAGCCCAATCAAATTCGCAAATGAAGACGTTTCTGTAACTGTACTTAAGAAGCAAAGGAACACTTGATTTAGTGATTTCAAACATTAGGAGAAATAATAAAAACCACAATATTCGTAGCCTGTACTTAACAACACATAAAAGAGCAGAATTAATGCCCTAAAGCAGCAGCTAAAAGCTAAGACACGTATAGGATTATATGTTTTGTTTATACTTCTGACCCTCAATAGCATTGTTGACCTCCTGGATGAACAGCTGGAGTTTCATCACCAGCGTGGCCGCATGGGTGTCCGCCTTCCCCGGTGCTTCCTTCTGCACCACCTTGAAGGCTCCGTTCACCCAGTCCTTCACATCAAAATCATCGTCCAAGAACTTTGAGAAATCCATTTGAGCTCTTCACCGGTGAAACAAACGGCCCAGACTTCAGTCAAACCGTTCTGGTCCAGCCTGTCACCGACTGGACCAGACGACGCTCTTCCCAAACAACGGCTTCGACACGAATATAAAGTAAATTGCCCACGAAAATGAAATTAGCATCACAACTAAATATAGCTCCAGTAGGGCGATGGCCTCCTCCAGAGTTGTTTTTTTAATATTCACGGTCTAAAAATGAGTAAACACATCGTTCTTCTGGCAGTTTTTTTAGTGGTGACAACAACTTCCTCATGCGCTCTGTATTTAAGTTCCCCGGAAACAGATAGGGAAAATGATGTTCCTACCCAAAAAAAAAAGAAAGAAAAACCACCTACACTAAACAAAATTTTAAAAATTATAAAAATCTTTATCATCAAGATAAATTCGCCATTTTTTATCTATAATAACCTGCTTGCAAAACGTATAAAATAAACGCAATTTACTGTGTTACATAAATATAGCTCCGTGTCGATACTAGTTCAGTATGTGATTTATAAAAATTTAAACGTTAATAGCTAAAAAAAACAATAGAGGTTCCAATAGGCTTTACTTTCATTAACAGTCAAGTGTGCTTGTCTCTAAAGACAAAGCACACTTGACAAAGAGGAAAGACAAAAGGTGGAGGTGTCTGCTTCTACATCAACAATGCCTGGTGTTCGGATGTGACTGTGATCTCCCAGTACTGCTCTCCTGCCCTGGAATTCCTCTTCATAAACTGTAAGCCATTCTACTCCCCACGTGAGTTCGCTTCATTCATTTTGGCCGCTGTTTACAACCCGCCTTGTGCAGACGTGCACGAGGCTCAACGTGCGCTCGTGGAGAAGCAGATCCTAAGTGTGGAACAGACCTTTCCGGACTCTCTAGTTATTATCCTCTGTGACTTTAACAAGGGTAATCTGAGCCAGGAATTGCCTAAGTACAGACAGTTTGTTAAATGCCCGACAAGAGAGCAGTACACGCTGGACCACTGCTACACCACAGTCAGTGGAGCTTATCGAGCCGTGCAGCGAGCTGCTCTCGGCTTCTCTGACCACGCCATGATTCACCTCATCCCCTCATATAGGCAGATGCTGAAGCTCTCCAAACTGCAGTGAGAACTTCTAAGAAGTGGACCTGCGAGGCTGTGGAGGAGCTTCGCATGTGTCTGGACACAACAGACTGGAACATGTTTGGATCTGCCACAGACAACTTGGATGAATATACAGACACTGTGACGTCATACATAAAATTCTGTGAGGACAGCATTATTCCAACAAAAACCAGGGTCACTTTTAGCAACGATAAGCCCTGGTTCACACCCAAACTGAGACAGCTGAGGAGGAGAAAGAAGCAGCCCACAGAGCCAAGGACAGAGAAAGCTACAAGGGCGCTGAGTACCAGTTCTCAAAAGAGTTGAAAAAGGCGAGATCCCGGTACAATATGCGTCTAAAGGAGCAGTTCTCTGACAATGACACCGCCTCTGTCTGAGAGGGCTCAGGCAAATCACTAACTACAAGCCTAGGGCCCAACATGCTGCTGATGATCTACAACTGGCTGAACAGCTTAACTCCTTTTATGCAAGGTTTGAAATGCAACACCCATCCCCCACACCCCCTACTGCACAGGTTTCTTCAGCCACTCTGGTGTCACATGCCTCCCCCACCACCTTCACCACTGTGAATGGTACAGTCCCCGCTGACCACCCCTCCCCCTCCACAGTGACAGAAGAGGATGTGCTCAGGGTTTTCCGTAAGCAAAACCCACGGAAATCCCCGGGCCCGGACAGCGTCTCCCCCGCTACCCTGAGACACTGCGCAGAGGAACTGTCTCCGATCTTCACGCACATCTTTAACATCTACTTGGAGTCCTGCCATGTTCCAGCCTGCTTTAAGCTGTCCACCATTGTCCCTGTCCCTAAGAAACCCCGTATCACTGGACTGAATGATTACAGGCCTGTGGCGCTGACGTCTGTAATCATGAAGTCTTTTGAGCGCCTGGTCCTCCCTCATCTCAAGCCCTTCACCTCCCCCCTCCTGGACCCTCTGCAGTTCGCATACAGAGCTAATAGATCTGTAGATGACGCCATCAACCTGGCCCTCCACTTCATCCTGCAGCACCTGGACTCCCTGGGAACCTACGCTAGGATCCTGTTTGTGGACTTCAGCTCTGTGTTCAACACCATCCTCCCTGCTCTGCTCCAGGACAAGCTCTCCATGCTCAACGTAACCAACTCCACCTGCAGGTGGATCACTGACTTCCTGACAGACCGTAGGCAGTGCGTGCGGCTGGGGAAGAATGTTTCCACCACTCAGACATTTAGCACAGGATCTCCACAGGGCTGTGTACTTTCTCCTCTGCTCTTCTTCCTGTACACAAACTGCTGCACCTCGAGCCATGACTCCGTTAAACTGATCAAGTTTGCGGACGACACCACCCTCGTTGGGCTCATCTCTGACGGTGATGAGTCCGCCTACAGGAGGGAGGTGGAACGGCTGGTGTACTGGTGCAGCAGCAACAACCTGGAGCTCAATCCTCAGAAGACAGTGGAGATGATTGTGGACTTCAGGAAAGTAACAGCCCCATCTCTCCCCCTCGTCCTGACGGACACCCCCTTTCACCACTGTGGACTCCTTCCGCTTCCTCGGAACCACCATCACACATGACCTTAGGTGGGAGCCATCCATCAGCTCCCTGATCAAAAAGGCCCAGCAGAGGATGTACTTTCTGCGGCAGTTGAAAAAGGCCAAGCTGCCGGCCCAGATGATGGTGCAGTTTTACACGGCCATCACTGAGTCCATCCTCACCTCCTCCATCACTGTGTGGTACGCTGGAGCCACAGTAAGGGACAAACATAGACTGCAGCACATTGTGCGCTCTGCTGAGAAGGTGATTGGCTGCAGCCTTCCATCTCTCCAGGACCTGTACGTCTCCAGAACTCGGGGGCGTGCAGGTCGGTTAGCAGCTGATCCTTCGCACCCGGGTTTCAGACTTTTTGAGCTGCTCCCATCAGGCAGGAGGTTACGGTCCATCCGGACCAGAACCTCCCGCCATAAGAACAGCTTCTTTCCATCTGCCGTTAGACTTGTGAACAGATTATAAACACACAACCATGCTCGTCTTCTGTACTCGACACAACGTCACGTTATCGGCCATGTTACCATTACCTGCCATTTTTTTATAGCTGAAAGTTTTATTCTAGTTTTTTTTATTCTATTTTATTCTATTTTTAATCTTATTATTCATGTTATATGTAGCACATTAGTACCGAAGCAAGTTCCTAGTTTGTGAATTGTTTGTTCACTGACAATGGCAATAGACCTATTCTGATTTTGATTCTGATTCTCTAGTAGCTATTTTAATACATTAGAGTTTTTAATTAAGGGATATTTTAATCTATAAAAATCCAATTTAAATGTGTCTCAAACTAGACTGTTACCCCTCACAGATATAAAGAAAATAGCTATCACTCACAACATTCTGATCATGAGCTTATATATGGATATGTATAGAGATGTTTGTGAAAATACCTTTGAAAATAAATGTTGTAATCATCAGTTTATTTTATATGTATGTCATTAATATATATCAATATTATATAGCTTCTCGGGGTCATAAAGAAAATGCGGTGTTTTCTTGGAACATAGGCCCAAACAACTAAAAAAGGTAAAATTGGTGTTGTAATTGTATTAAACACACAACAGTGTTGTTGATTAGGTCACAGTAAAATATTGAATATTTCCAGTGCATGTCAGTATTTTACCTGTGAAGAAACTGATTTAAATATTAAATGATAAATGACCCAAACGGTGAGTCAGAGGACTCCAAAGCTCTTTACACTACAGTGTATCATTCATCCATTCACACACACATTCACACACTAGTGATAGTGGCAAGTTACATTGTCTACAGCTGCCCTAGGGCACAGGGGCAAAGCTGCTCAGCACAGGCACCACCAGTCCTTCCAACCACCACCAGCAAGCAGGGAAGGTGAAGTGTCTTGCCCAAGGACACAATAGCAGGGTTCTCTGAAGGGAGCCGGGATAGAACCTGCAACCCTCCCTATTACTGGATAACGCACTCTACCTCCTAAGCTATTGCTGGCCCTCTAATCTAACTTTTCTACTGTGTACAACTTGTCTTCACTTGTCATCAAGAATCTTCTGGCGCTGAGTTGTAACTGGCAACAGTTGCTCATAGAGGGGACTTGTTTGTTTTGATATGTGGGCTGCAGTACCCACATTTGACCACAGGATGTCCTTTTTACGTCATGCACCTTAAACACATCAAACATAAGGCTGATGTATACTTCTCCATCAGCTCAAAAATGGAGTTGTGCACATGCATTAACAGAGGTTTTGCCTTCGTACTGGGGAGTGTTGCAATGCACTTCCCCATCCGGACAACAGACAGCGTAGTGCTATTTGGGGGTATCCGGCCACCACAGTCACGGCGGTGTGTTTACTTGTGCCTATGTATTTCAGATATTTTTAACACAGATACATTACACCTTCATTCTCCTCTACCTCTTCATGTATTCACCGCCTCTTAACCCACGTTTCTCATCATTTCTGTCCATAAATAAAATGTTTGCTGCAGATCTTTGTACTGCTCCATTCACGGTTGAATAAACGTCAGTAACCTTTTCTGTGAGACGTTCTTCAGTCTGTCCCATGTCTGCCGCTAAATATCTTCATCTCTTTTAAAAAATATATAGATATTTTTTTTGAGGGGGCCAATGACGGTGCTGTCAATGAAGTTAAAGGAAGCAGCATCCTGGTCAATCACAAGGTTGCCGTCTCCATCACTTTCAATGGATAGTTAAAAATTTGTGCATGAGCTCGTCAGCCTCTGCGGGCCGGTTGGAGGGCCCTTGCGCTGACACATAATGGCGATGTGTGTCTCCATACCCACGCAGACAGAGAAGTATAAATCAGGCTTTAGGGTTCCCAAACCTACAAACTCAACACCTAACACCTGCCATGCCAATGTGCAGCTGGGTTGAATTCAAGCATCTTGTATGGCAACACTGCAACATCCACAAATACTAATCACTAACAAGGTACCTGCATACAGTCTGATAAACCAAAAAAAGCATGATAAAATAAATGGTTCCTTCCAAAAGACTCCAGCAGCAGAGGCCAGAGGTGTGAAAAAGTCACTGCTTTGCAAGTCACAAGTTAAGTCAAGTCTCGAGTCAAGTCCAAGTCAAGTCTAAGTCCTTAACTTTGAATTTTCAAGTCACAATCAAGTCATCTGACCAACTTCCATTTAATGACAATGATAATAAATAAATTCCAGAAATAAAGCTCTAAAAACTTCATTTATTTGCTCAAACAAGCAGGAAGTTCAACTGAAACTGATTATAAACAAAGTGCTGCTGCATTTAGCAGAACGAGATCAAACCCAGAACGAAGAATGATTTGTGATTTTTGTCCATGTCGGGCCATTTTGTGCTAAAACATCAAATATGCTCAAGTCATCATCAAGTCCACTGATGCAAGTCGATTCAAGTCGCAAGTCATTGGTGTTCAAGTCCGAGTCAAGTCGTGAGTCTTTATAGATTTTATCAAGTCAAGTCAGAAGTCATTAAAAATGACTCAAGTCTGACTTGAGTCCACATCTCTGGCAGATACACAATCAGAGCTCTGACAAACATTTCTGACCATGCCACACCCACTCCTGTATCTGCTCCTCTTGCCATCCAAGGTGTGGAGTATTAACCACAGTGCATTCATGTTCTAATGTCTGTGTAAAATAAAAGTCCTCCCATGGCTACGTTATCAGACTGGAAGCCTACCGGCTCCAGATACTACGTACATCTGTTTCATGACTATTATGCAAACCATAAGGGTTGTAAAAGGCCAGGCAGAAGGTAGTGCTGGACGGCACAGAATACCTCAGTTAGCTTCTACCAGCTATCTGAGAACACAAAGTCAATTCAGCCTCCAGTTGACTCTTTAACCAAGATGGGATTTATTGATGATGTCAAGACTTCATTGTCCAAGGCAGTGTTTACTCCATCTACTCTGTTGTCTGGATGCAGGGGTCTACACATGGCTCAGGTCAGCCTCTCTGTGGCCACCTTCTTCCAGGGTTGTTTCAGAGGGGGCAGCAGCCACACCTACTGGAACTATGCTATGTTTTCCTGGGCTTTTTGCCCCATAATGACGCTCTTCATCACCATTATTGAGATGTTCAAGCTTGATATCCTCCTCAAATTCTGCATGGACTAGGCTGACTTCACCACAGGAGTGGCCATGTCGTCCTCATTGAGGACCGTCTCTGTCGCCGTCACTTACGCTAACTTCTATGCCTGCTGGAAATGCCTGTATGGCTTGGTAGTGAGTGCGTTCGCCTTCTTGTGTGGCTTTGTCTACACCCTCGAAGTGGTGAAAGATAAATTCATGGACAAGAAGGAAAAGGACTTACTTGGCTGCTCTGCCTGGATTCATCAAGGTTCTGGAGGCTTTTGTAAGCTGTATGATTTTTGTGTCCCTCACTGGCTACAAAGACAAACCAGCGCTGATCATTTGTGTCATAGCGTACATCATCCCTTTCCCCATCCTCCCTCTGATCATAGCCACCAACATCCTGAAGAAACTGAGGAGCTGTTTGCCCTTTAACCTGGACAGGTTTGTGTTTCTATTCCTGGTGATCTCTGTTCTGTTGTACCTGCTCACTGCTATCCTGTGGCCGGTTTTCATGTTCAGAAACAATCCTCGTCCCAGTGACTGCCAGCCTAGCTTTTGTGTATGGGCCATTCAGTTCATGGTGGCTTTTTTTTTTTACATATGTCAATCTCATTCTTTTCACTGTGGATCTCATTTTCACTCTTCTTGGGATCTGTGGCTTTAAACGCACGTAAATGCTCTGTTACGTTTTTATTTAGAACATTTTCCTGTGTATGAATGCTACTATTTGGATACTTTAATATATCATGTTTGATTATTTTGCATTTTATAGTTTGTGAATCAACACTTGAATACTCATTTTTGTTTGTTTGTTGTTTTTTTTATGGATGATGGAATTTGGCCTGGAAAAATCAGCTCAAGCATTTTACTTGTCTTTTTGTGGTTTCTATTATTTTTAACACCAGCAAAAAAAAAATAAATAAATAAAAAGGAAAAGGTTTAAATTTGTCTGACACAGATGTGACTAAAACACACATATTTTGGATCCTATGCACTTTCCGCTACCGGGTCGGTAACGAGATGGCATCTGCTTGGAATAGCAGCAGTCACCGGTCACTTTTTGATCATTTTTTTTATCTTTTTAACATTTAAATGTTTGTTCTTGTGAAGAATCTTGTGATTTTTATCTACAGAGGCGCTACATAAAACAGTGTTTTCTTTCTTTCTTTCTTTCTTTCTTTCTTTCTTTCTTTCTTTCTTTCTTTCTTTCAAAAGAAATCAGAACACTTGAGTTAAAGATACACTTCCTCTTTGTAAATATTTTTAAATTATGTAATTCTGTGAATGTAACAGTATAAATAATAAATAAGTATTTACTGTAACTGTGTGTTTGCATTGCAAGCAGCTAAAATGTGTGAAATTAAAAACTTAAATGAAATAGAGCAGGGGTACAGCACTCCAGACCTGGAGGGTCGGTGTCCAGTGGCGTGTCTAGATCTATTAAAATGGGGTGGCCCAGGTGAGGCCCAACTTTGTGCATGGGTGGCACCAATGGTTATGCTTTTTTTGTTTTACCCTCAAGCCTTTTGTAGATAATGAAAAGCCTATTTAAAGGGAAATTAGTGTGGTGGCACCTGGGGTGGCCAATCAGATTCCAAGGGTGGCATGTGCTACCCCAGGCCACTCCCTGGACACGCCCCTGTTTTAAACCTTGTTGTTTATTTTGTAGAGCTGGTGTTGTCCATTAAGTCCTTAAACAAATCATGTGCTGCTTGGATTTTGTTTCAAAATCCTAAAATATGTAACTGTTCAAAGCAGTCTGCTAAAGAAATGACCGATAAAGGAGAAGCATTGCTTCTGATCTCTTTTATAAACACAGAATGTGAAACGTGTTATTGTAGTTTAAAACGTCTGTTGGTATTTGACTATTAGTGCATCGCTTTATTGTCTCACTGCAAACACAAAAAGAGAAAAAGATACATCTATTCAAATGTTACAACCTTTACTGACATGTCACAGGACGGAGATAGAAATGCAAATGTCACAAACTCACACCTGTAGCTCCTAAAACAAAAAAGAGGGTCATCTCTTCAGTGATGCACGTATAAAAACTATTTCAAACGATTGGTCATGATTAGGTTGTTACAAATGTAGCGAAAGCCTCAGGACTCCTCAGGCTCATCCAACTCCACGTTCTCCAGCAAACCCTGGAAGCAGAAGTAATGTGAGTTGCAATAGACAGGTGGCTTGTTGGGAGACGGGTCCACCACTTCAGGTTTCAGCGACGTAAACGGGTTGGCTCCACTTCCCTTCATGTCCATCTCCAGCTCCGTCAGGATCTGGAGGGAGTAGGTCATCTCTGACTCACTGCAGGAGGACAGGTGGACATGAATGGTGATGGAGGAACACTACCAAGGAGCTGTTAAAAAACACCCCAAATAGGCAACACGACAGAAACACGCTTACTTCAGAGTGGTGAAAAGAGAGGGAATCTCGTAATCCCTGAGGAGCAGAAGTGTTGGAAGCCAGCCATCATCCAGACCCTGACTGGCATCAAAGCCTAGAAGAATCAGGAGTGTAGCTTAACTCAGAAGTGTATCTTCACGTGTTCAACATTTTACAAAAATGCATTTGACATCGTACAAAACAACGTGAACGATGTTCTCACCTGGATGAAACCCAACAACTAGGTCTGGCTTTGCTGCCTCCTCTTTTTCCACCAGCTCCTCCCAAAACTGGTGGTAGAGGCCTTTATAGGCACTGATGTAGACCCTCTGTCTGGGTCCAAAGGCTTTGAGAGGAGGCCTCATGATGGGGCCATTCACCACCTCTGGTCCCACCATCACTACCTCTATGCCCTGGTGTCCTGGGAACATGCAGCTCAGCTCATCGTAGTCCGTTACTTTAGCAGCTATTGTCTCGTTGCGTCCTACTCCCACCAGGTGAATGGTGAGAGGTTTGGAGCATGGGTTCAGACCAAACTGCCTCATTCCCCAGGCTATCGTAAGAGGCCTGCAGAAGAACTCACTGCAGACCCTCCACAGAGACTGCTTTAGATCTTCGTCGCTAGGCCGAGGCCTGCCTGCGTCGGTCCACAAGTCCTTCATGTTGGCTCCGTTTATGATAGGATCGAGGCGTGACGGGAGATCTCCCTGCATGGAAAGCCAGTCATCCCAACACTTAACCTCTGACTGGGGCTTTGACCACTTCTCTGTGGTGAATGGAATTTCTCCTGGTGAAGAAACACGATAAGTTTCACTGATTAGTGAACAAAAACACTGATCTGCCTTTGATTCTCTTTTACCTTTGAACACCAACCATTCAACCACTCTGTCGATAGAGGCTAGACGCAGAACGGAGCAGAACTTCTTGTGTTTGGGCCAGTCCTCCCTCTGACATTCTTTGCAGCAGTAGTAAACATGTAGGCATCTGCACAGAGAGGACAAGGTAAGGAACGTTTGAGTCCCTCACAGAAGGTTATTGTTATTGTTATTACCTGGCACAACGCTTCAGACTCTCTGTGTGTGAAAGTTCATTTTGCCGTTTCTCACAAAATGCACAGATTTTGAAGGACTCCTCCATCTTCTCAAACATCTCCTTCTGTGACCGGAAGGCCATGGGTTTGGTCTTCTGCGGGACACTGACACAACAGATAAGAACACCACATAGGGCTGTCTTTAACTTAACCCTAATCCAAACAGGCCTTTGAGCTTCCCTTCATATACGTCGTGTTGTCACTCTTCAGAGAGCACCCATCTTCACAATAGTTATTCTAGGGCACCATAAAGTCAACATATGGACATGTATTGAACTTTGAATCACAAAATCTAAAACTGACTCCACTTACCTCTGAGTTTCCGTCATTTTAAGGCTTGAAAGCGTCAGTTCAGTAGCTTCTCCTGCTGGTTTGATATGTGAGCGGCCTGCTGGGGGGCTGCTGGGGCCAGATATAGCACCTGTGCTTTGCCTTCTAGAACAGTCTGACACATCCAGACCATTCCTGACCGAAACAAGAGCCACACTCTCTTGGGCAGTTCATCATTAGAAACGTATTTAACATCAAAACTACATTATAAAGAAATTGATGGCTATCATATTTCCGCTTATGTTAAACAAGACAATTAAAAAGCCAAGAATTCTTTGAAGAAATATTTATTGGCTTTTTGGGCCAAAATCTCTAAATGAGATTATTTTGTGTTGAAAATTGTTTGGTTGACTGTTTTAAAAAGAAGATGCTCTGTTCTTTGGTTCTGCGTACTTTTGGAGCCAGACTCTGGATGACTGTGGGACTGAAAGTCAGATATCTAAAACTTAAATTAATAATTTTGGGAAAAAGTGTAAGAAAAGTTCAAACTGAACATACAGCAGCAAGGTGAGTACTAATTTAATCTATAAGAATCAACACTTGGAACGTTTTCCATTGGTTTGTTATGGATTTAAAACCTAAACCCCAGCCAACCACTAGGGGGTGCATTTTCATTTCTTTTTGCTTCGCGTATGACAGACTTCAATTACGCAAAATCTCCAGGGGTGCCCAATACATAGACGCCTCAGGACCTGCCGAACAGGTCATTCAACCATCCAATCAGGTGTGTTGGAGCAGAAACACAACTAAAACATGCTGGATAGTGGCTGTTGATGATATGCAATGGACACTTAAATCAAAAATCAGGTCACGAAAATGTTCTCTGCTCTGTGGTGTGGTAGTAAAAGTCATATCCAGATGTTGTGTTTAAATGCTGCTGCAGGGACATATAGGACACAACCTAAGTGAGAATGTGTACACCCAGGGTTGAGAGTAAAGGGCAGAGTTTGGTTAGAACCAGAATTCAAAAGCTTGTCATCTCTCCTGTGCATTAACATCTTTAATCCACTAGAGGACAGTGTTGCTCTGTCAAAGCTGTTTCACAGCACACTCAGGTTTACTGGAGTACTTCAGACACAATCATTTATTTTTACCATCTCCTACTGGAATATGTTCACGGCACCCATTTATACACACTTGTAAAATGTGATCACTAGGAAAACAATGAAGAAATGTTTACTATTGATTCAGAGATTATGCTAAAGTGGCATTAACATCCCTTGTGTTGATCTTCTTGATAACACAGATGAGCCACCTGGGTCGTCCCCTAATACATATTTAATTAGCTTTATCGCTGGAGCGGTGCCATTTACAGACAAATGAACTCTAACACATAGAACCAGCTTCTGGTAATGATCTGGGACTCATATAGTGCCTCTTTTTAATGTGGCAGTAAAGAACAAGTACTCCATCTTGCCCAGTATTTTATAATATAATAAAGAGCGTGAGCTCAAATGAAATGAATGAAATTGTAAACATTTTACTTGCTTTTGTTTGATTTTAGACTAAATTAGGCGAAGTAGGTATACTGTGTTTTGGTTCTGCTAAATAATACAGAAAAATATCAAATCTAAGCTTTTGAAACAATTTACAGTCAGTTCCTACAAACATGTTCATGTAAATCCTCCAGAGTTTAGTTAACAGAGTGATATTACAACAACAACAATATTAATAGTGGTAATGAATGTCAATAATAATAGTGGTCATAAACGTCTTAGATCACATCACATTAGTATGCGTATGATCTGCCGCCATGCAGCTGTACTGAGATTTGGGAATTGCTTTATCTGCGGAACGAATCACAGGAAGCTGTCAAGTGATGACAGAACTAATTGTGGTTTCATTATGCGTGCATAACAGTGACCCTTTGAATCCAACAACCACGTTAGCTCAGGGCGCCAGCAGAGAAGAAACCTTTGGGGCCTCCTGGTGACACCATCAAAGAAAATTAGCTTGGAGGGATTGCTTTAATCTGCCTCATTAATTTATTGCATTGCAATTCAAAGGGTGGGACTGAGGATTCATTAGAAGCAGCAACGGTACATTCTCAAACTAATCAGCATCAGTCTGTATTTGTGTGGCAGCCGAGTTAAGTGGAACACACACACCCCCAGCAGACCTCAGGACATCATAAAAGCTCAGATTGTCATTAATGGGCCTAATGGTGGGCTGTTAACTCTCAGCACCTGGTGTGTGTGAGTCCTCCTGAGGCAGCAGACCCTGGAGGCAGATGTAATAAGAGTTGCAGTAGACGGGGGGTTTGTTGGGACTGGACTGGACCTGCTCCGGTTTCTGTGAGGCGAACGGATTGAGTCCACTCTCTCTGATGTGCATCTCCAGCTCCAAAAGGATCTGCAATGAATACTTGAGCTCCATCTCACTGGAGGGGGGAGGCAGAAACATGAACAAATGAGTTAAGGTGGTCTTGTTGACAGTTTGGACAAACTGAAACTGAAATCTGCAGCCCGATTCGGAGCAAGACCAGAGTCAGAAGGTATGGTGAAGGTGTAATTTAGTATCACCAAGGCGATGGAGGAGGTAACTGATACTAAACTAGATGTGGGACGAGAACAGGCTGCCACAGAGGAGGTCTAGCAGATTCTCTATTCTCATCAGATCCAACATTTCTCTCTGGAGGTGTTAGCAGATGGTATTCAAAATGAGTTAAGGATGCCCTCTGGCACTGAGACCTTTAATTATTAAAAAAAATGACACAGAGTAGATGATGTTACCTCTGCTACAGAACAAGAAGCAGGTGATTAGAGCAAAAGAAATGTGATTCACCTAAACATGGTGAGGAAAGAAGGGATGTTGTAGTCCCTGAGCAGAAGGAGGGTGGGCAGCCAGCCCTCTACCAAACCCTGGTTGGCGTGGAACCCTGGAAATAAAATACGAGTTAAATGTCCATGAAAGCTTCTCAGATAGAAACTTGTTTTCGTTTAAGGTCTAATGCTCCGCGTTTCGCGTTTGCACTGGCTTTGGGTATTTTTGCACCTTCCCCTTGGGTTTCTTGCCCTGCCATAACGACATGTGATCACTGCATTGAAAGCTGGAAGTCATTCATGTGATATGTGCAGTGGAGAGGAACAACATCACATATGACATCAAACAGTGATATCAAACTGATTTCCTTCTTTTTGGTCTATTGGCGGATGGCACGAACAAACCATGAACTTTGAAGTGTCGAGGGATTTTGCGATCTCATGAGTGTAGTGAGGAGCACAGAGAGGACGCCGTTCCACGGCCAACATTCTCCTGGTGTGCACTCAGTGGCGCAAAAAGTGGGTGGCGCATATGCGACGCATGGGGGCACCAGGCTGGAGGGAGCTCCAAAGCAATGATGCAAAAATATTTTAGTCTGAATGTCCTGTGTTTAATAACAGCTGTGGTTTTGTCCATTTGTGTATCAACAAATTATTTAATTAATAACAGAGAAGCATATGTGATTAGGTGCCCTTCCAGGTCTTAACACCCCCCATCACCACCACCCTTAACACACAGCGCGAGCCCCCTCGACGTGGCGCGGTTGATGAGGATGATTTTAAACATGAGTCACAGAACCAAGTTGTGTGTTTATTTATGACAACTTTGTAGAATAAAGTTGCATTAATAAGCACCAACAGAGCCAAGCTCTGGTGTTGCAATGATAGTTAAGTGATGAGCAGCTCTTGTCTAATTGGGATGGCGGGAGCAGGACCGGACTGGGGAAATTCCCGGTGGGCCGGTCTGGTCGGTGTTTTTAGTCATCCTTTTGTTGTTGTTGTTGTTGTTGTTGTTTTCGGGCCGTGTTCAGTCACGTCTCTGTTGTTGCCTTGATCAGCTGCTGCTGATGAGAGGATTTCTCCTGTCAGTGTGGAAGGAACGGGTGAGCTGCTGCCAACAAGCTTTAGTTCCTAGAAACACTTTCTATGCCCAGACTGTAGTGACCTGTTATTTATAATTTTATAATTAATAGTAAGTTCACAATGGTCGGCAATAACACATAAAAAATTTTTGTCCGGTATAATTGGGTTGATGAACAACACAAGATGTGTTTTCGGTGAATCAATCTAAAACTAAATGTACTTTCTGTCACAAACTCACACTTCTACTAGAAGTTGGTGTGTGCGGTCACATCTAAATAAGATCGGGTGGAAAAACGTCTAACTCTGTCAGATAACTTTATTTAGAGAATTTTTTTAAAACAAGTCGAGTCTGGTAAAATTGGTTTATTAAACAACACAGATGTGTTTTTAGTAAATACATCATAACTAAAACGTACTTCTGTCACAAACTCACACTTTTATAAGGAGTTGGTGTGTGGTGTCGCATCTAAATCGGTCCAGGCGGTAAAAGGTTTTCACTCTCTGTTAGATAACTTCAGGAAAAAAACAATAAAAGAGTTGAATCCGGTAAAACTGGGTTAATAAACAACACAAGATGTGTTTTTGGTAAATAAATCCTAAACAAAATGTACTTTCTATCACAAACTCACATTTTTAACCCTCTGGAGGGAGGCGTTGCAGATTTACAACAGTTAAAACCTGCCTACCGGGTTACACATACGTGGAATAACACTGAGCTTAAAAGCGCCCCCTGTTATACGGGCATATGAATTGCCCACAGGTTACAACACCTTTTCTACCTGAGACAAGTGGTGCAAAATAGGGCAGCGTGAAAAAGAAAGTGTAGCTTGAAAAGCTGCATTTATGACTCACATCAGCAGTTTTGTGCAGTTGCATTCACTCATTTGTGCTTGTGGTAAGGAAGAAAATAAAACCATATGTCTGTGGGAACATGCTAATATAGGTGTTTGAATTAGTTATTCTCCAGATGTGCTGGATTGTGGAGCAAAATTATTAGAACAGGAATTCCCTATTCTGTAACTCGCAGTAACAAATGTGTGTACCCACAGTGAAGAATGTGTGAAGTGTAATAGTAGTTTTGTGTTTGTGTGACAGTGAAAAATGCACAAGTAATTTTTTTCATACACAAATATGTGTATGCGTTTTGCACCATTTGTTTCTGCTCAACTGGGGAAAAACTGCAACTGTATGATTTTTTTGACGTGTGAACCAACAAGTACAATTTCTGTACTTGAAACAAAGATTTTGAATAAGTGGAGCTGTAGTTTTGTTCCTGTGAAAGAGTTTTTTTTTCCTGGATTTTTCTCTGTGATTTCAAGTTCCCAGAGTCGAGACACAAATGTTTTTGTACCCAATATTTTGTATCAACTTGGGCAAAACTGTAACTGCAAGATTTTTTTTTATGTGTGACTCAAAGAATGCATTTTGTGTACTCGTACCCAAGATTTTGAATAGGTGTAGCTGTTGTTTTGTACTTGTGAAAGATAGGATTTTTCTTAATTTTTCTCCGTGATTTCAAGTTCCCAAGGACAAAACACAAATGTTATTGCACCAAATATACCTCCATAGAGGGCTCTCTAATCCCTGAGAGAGACGCTGACTGCAGGAAGCAGCAGAAACAGTAAATAAAACTTGCAGAGGGTTAAAAGCCTGTGTGGTTTTTTCACATCAGCTTTTTGATGCATGTGGGCTACTGTAGCTGCACCTACTCTGAGCTGTCCAGCCCTAAGGAGTCAAATATTTGTAAACACTGGGGCTTTAAAGTCACACTAGGCAGTTTTGGCTTGCTTTTAGCACCCCCTAGTGTCCATTTTAGTGGAACCAAAAGCAAAACTTATCTCCTCGTTGTGCGTTCGTCTTTTTAACACCTTAATCTACAAGCTGAAACGTCTCCCCAGCCTTCATTGGTGTCTACAGGATTCATCACTAAATTAAAGAAATCAGCTGTGTTCGCGATCTAAAACATGCAGAAAACGTGCTGGAAGCAGACTGCAGCGCCAGGTATGTCAGCTCCATTTCAAAGTCCAACAGGTGGCAGTTCACCATGCTGAAGTAGCAAGTGCAACATTCTGGCAACAGAATGACTTTTCATTAACCCTGTAAATAGTCGCTTTAACACATACTGTCTCAAGAAAATTTTTAAAAAACATGAAAAATTTGCAAAGTATGCCTTTAACACAAGAACTTCCAAAGCAGTCATTTCGACTGTTTTCATATTTTTATATGTAACAACTTCAGTCAGACGGATCTCATGTTGTCCTGGCTTCCTGGCTATTACCAGTAGGGCTGAGTTCTAATTGTAGCCGCAGCCACGAGGGCGTGCCCATATCTACAAATGGCTGTGACTACTATCCCGTAGCTACGAGAACAGCCAATGGCTATAGCTATGAAATGCTGTGACAGCACCCACTCGCCCGGACAGACTCCATTACGTGATAGGTTTTGCGATAGGTCAACGCCTAACTGAGAAGCATTGTTTTGGCAGTTTATGAGTACAGTAGTTAAAAACTTTGTTCATATTTGATGTTTAATGAATGTGGTGTACTCTGATCTCCATCCATCCATACACCCGCTTATCTGGAGTCGGGTTGCAGGTGCAGTAGCCTAAGGCGAGAGGCCCAGACTTCACTCTCCCCAGCCACTTGGGCCAGCTCCTCCGAGGGAATCCCAAGGCGTTCCCTGGCCAGGTGAGAGACATAGTCCCTCCAGCGTGTCCTGGGTCTGCCTTTAGGTCTCCTCCCGGTTGGACGTGCCTAAAAACACTCACAAGGGAGGCATCCAGGAGGCATCCTGACCAGATGCCCGAGCCACCTCAACTGGCTCCTCTCGATGTGGAGGAGCTGCGGGTCTACTCCGAGCCCCTCCCAGATGACCGAGCTTTGCACCTCATCTCTAAGGGAGAGCCCAGCCACTCTGCAGAGAAAGTTCATTTTGGCCGCTTGTATCCTCAATCTCGTTCTTTCGGTCACTATCCAAAGCTTGTGACCACAGGTGAGGGTAGGAACGTAGATCGGCCGGTAAATCAAGAGCTTTGCCCTCTGGCTCAGCTCTCTCTTCACCGCGACAGGCCGGTACAATGCCCGCATCACTGCAGATGCAGCACCAGTCTACCTATTGATCTCACGCTCAATCTTCCCCTCACTCATGAACAAGAACCCAAGATACTTAAACTCCTCCACTTGAGGCAGGACCTCATCCCTGACCCGGAGAAGACATCTACCCTTTTCTGAATCAAGACTACGGTTTCAGATTTAGAGGAGCTGATTCTCATCCCAGCTGCTTCACACTCGGCTGCGAACCACTCTAGTAAGAGCCAAAGATCGTGTTCTGATGAAGCCAACAGGACCACATCATCTGCAAAAAGCAGAGACCTGATCCTCAGGCCACCAAAACGGATGCCCTCCACACCTTGGCTGCACCTAGAAATCCTGTCCATAAAGGTTATGAAAAGAATCGGTGACAAAGGCCAGCCTTGGCGGAGTCCAGCTCTCACTGGGAACAAGCCCGACTTACTGCCAGCAATGTGGACCAAGCTCTGACACCGGTCATACAGGGACCTAACAGCCCGTGTCAGAGGGCCCTGTGGGAGGTACTCCGGGAGTATGAGGTACCAGGGTACCTCATACTCCCGGAGTACCTCCCACAGGGCCCCCCGAGGGACGCAATCAAACGCCTTCTCCAAATCCATAAAACACATGTAGACTGGTTGGGCAAATTAGTACTTTGAACTCGTGCTCCGTCATATTATGCTAATGTGGCTGTGCGACTCTGTCCTCGTAGCACTGTGGCTGTGTTATTACAAATACAGGCCATAAACCAAACAGTAAACAACTGGAAACATTCTCCCCTGCAGAAACCAGGCTCCAGTGAAAGAATATGTACATACAAACCTCTCTTTGAACCTTTTTTATAGTAACTGCATGATTTTATTGGCAGTAAGGTGATGAAATGTCACCAGAGTTCAACACAAACACACCCAGAAAAAAACGTCCTCCTTAGAGACGAGACTCAGATAACGTACTGGAGATCGCAAATGCTGATGAATAAAGTCTCCTGTTACTATTTTATCAAAGCCAGGACTGTGTGTGTTAGTGTGTGTTGTGGGAACTCAGAGGCACAGAGTGATAAGGCCTGTCAAACCGGCCCACAGATGGCATCACAAGCCTGGGATCCCAGCTTGAATAATGCACGCCGTGGTGTTACCATCCCTGAGGTGACACTTCTAGTCATGATAAAAAAATTAATGGGGAGTTAAGTGTTTGGAGGTTTAGACCGCCTGGAGATAAGGTGAAAAAGAGAGACTACATTCTGTCTGTTAATGATGGCCATAACTGCTTGGCACCTGTGTTAAACTGGGCCATATGGTTGATGCTGACGCTGTTAATGATAATAGATTTCGTTTTGTTTCCTGCTCTGAGAAAGATGCTCCTTGGAGCCACAAGAACGGAGTTTGTTTTATGAATAACAATCAGCAGTGTGGGTGTTACACAAGTCCCTGTTTGATAAGTGTGAATGACAATAAACCCGTTTGTTTTTTTAACTGAGAGACCCCTTTCTAGAAGTAAATGTGTTTTTATGGTATCCACCTGCATCATTTTTTCCTGAGACTTTTGCCCGATAGCTGCATTCTTTTCACCATGCCACCTGGTCCCCATCACTTAAAAAGGTGTCATAATGCTGTTCTTTGCCAGATTTGCAGTATGAAATGCAGCCGGGCTCTGAGGCAGTTTACACGCTGGATAAACGATTCCTGTATTTTTAGCCCCAGCAGAGCCTGCGGCGATAACTCAGCGAGGTTATTGGTGCATTTGGGTCGAAGCTTTACCGCTGATTTGCTAGTTACATGGTTCAAAGGACAGATTCAGCTTGGTCACTAGATGTTTACTCAGAAGTCCCACCTTTGGATCCGTTTTGAATAACAAAAATAATTACACTTTATCCGTAATTTAAAAAAGAAATGCTTATTCCTCAGACTGCATCCAAATTAATGATTTGCATTGATTTTTGCAGCCACCACGGTTTGAGGCTCCCCTTAAAAAAACGGCTTAATGATATTTTGCTGCTGAGTCCAGCGATTGCAAGCCAAACTCCGTCCCAGCTGCTGCCATAAATCACCCAAATCCCCACTAAAAGCCTGGCACTAATGAAAAGGCCAGATCCGGTGAGTTAAACCTCTTCCTCTGCCTGTTTTCTGGAGGAGGTTACAGTCAGGCAAACACAAGTTTCAGGTTCCCCCAAACAGCTGACTATTCCAGCATCTATTTCTAGATGCAGTTATCGTTGTTTTTACAGCCTAATTTGAAAGCATGATTAATTATGGTATGTAGAGATTCCTGACATGAGATATCATTTATTTTATTACCACTGGTAAGTGTGACTGAGCACATACCAGGATGAAAAGTGATCACCAGGTCTGGCTTGGCTGCTTCCTCCTTCTCAACAACATCCTCCCAGAACTGGTGGTAGAGGCCCTTATAGGTGCTGATGTAGACCCTCTGTTTGGGTCCAAAGGCTCTGAGTGGAGGCCTCGTGATGGGGCCGTCCACCACCTCTGGTCCCACCATCACTACCTCTATGCCCTGGTGTCCTGGGAACATGTGGCTCAGCTCGTCGTAGTCCGTCAACCTGGCTCCCATTGTCTCACTGTGGGAAGCTCCAGCTAGGTGAACAGTGAGTGGCTTAACATATGGGTCCAAGCCAAAGCGCTGGATGGCTGTTCCAACTGTGAGAACTCGAGAGAGGAACTCGCTCTGAATTCGCCATAATGACTTTCTTAAATCCTCGTCATCTGGTTTGGGCCTACTGACGTTCTTCCAAAGTGTCGCCATGCTGGAACCAGACACAACTTTGTCCAGATGTTTGGCGAGGTCCACCTGCATAGAAAGCCAGTCGTCCCAGCTCTTCACATCAGCAGGTGACATGGACCACTTCTCTGTGGGGAATGGGAGATCTCCTGTAAAAGTCACAGACAACATTTATTAAAGAACATAAGTTCATTACAGCGTTCATGTAGTCTGATGCAATTCCGTACTGCAGTGTGGGTCTGGAATATTTTTTTACATGTGCAATGGCAAATTTTCAAAACAAGATAGCTTTGAAACACAAACACGGTCACGGACCTTTCACCATTGGCTATCATCTGAAGGCCATGTCCGCCTGGAGCGAGTAAACAAGAGATCACTAAACACAAGGTGTCATTTTTAACGCTCAAACATCTTTGGTTGCCCGTGACTTCAAATGGTGTTTTTCTTTTTGGGACTCTGGTAGTTTGTCCTAAAGATGAAGTGGTGGCAGCCAGCTGTATCGCCTTCCCTGATATTAATACACGGAGAACCTCTTGCACCAGTGGTGTTCTGTTGCTAAATGCATGAGTGTGTAGTGAATGGAGGACTCAGGGAAGTGTGCTGATGTGGTGAGACCGACAACTGGACGGTCCAAAACGTGTTATTGTCAACGGTTTTTGTACAAATGCAAGAGAACCGCTTCATTCGATTTTTTTCATGCTTTTTAATCTCCACAGAATATTTAAAGCTATACTATGTTAGAATGTTTTGAAAAGGCATGAAAAAAGCTTGTTTTACGGATTCGTTATTGTAGCTTTAAGGGGCCACAGTATTTATGGGACAATCGTTTACAATGTCACAGTTTGTTTCTTGCATTGCATCATGGGTTTAGGCAGCAAAAAACAGCGTCTTTTGTCTATAATTTGACTGTTTTGCCAAACTGGAGGAGGATTTGGCAAAGCAGCTGGATCATTCTTGCAGTGTAGTTGGTTGTTCAGCCTGTGGGAGGCTTGATAAAAAGTTTAATTGGAATTTCCTCCATTAACGACCGTAATTTACAAAAGAGATAATAGGAAGCGACCCGGACTCTCAGAAGAAAGCCTGCATTCCTGCTGTAACGGGCACCATGTTGAAACCCTAACCCTACGGTGCATAGACAAAATATAAACACACTCAGCAATACAGAAATTTCACAGCTGTATTGTTTTTTTAAGTCTAAATAGTATCAGTGTAAAGTAAGTAGTCTGTAGGTAAAAAAAAACAACACACCCAAATTCGAATTTGGCTCATTAGCGCCTCTAGTGTTTAAACCTAGAATTGCACCCATAATCTGATCATTGCACAAAGGACAGATGGGGCCAATCAGATTGAGCAAGGGTCCTTCCCCTAGAACTACTAATTCCGCACTATAAAAACTTTTTTTTTGTGAGAGAATGAACAAGAACTAATTAAAAATTTATGTGATTTTTACAAAGAATGATAACCCTTTAAATTTTTAACTTTCTGCTTTTTTCAGTAATGTTTTCAGTGTATTAGTTACCTGTGAACATCAACCATTCCACAAGTCTGTCAACAGCCACCAGTCGAAGGGTCTTGCAGACCTTTTTGTGCTGGGGCCAGTCCTGTGTCTGGCAGTCTTTTGTGCAGTAGTACACATTCAAGCACCTTTAGGTGATTAACAGAGACAAAGAAAGTGGAGAGAAATTATGAGAATGTATGTTTATTTTCTGCAGGACAAAGGCATTTTCTGGTTTAATATTAAAGATTCATAGCAGTCATTACTCTGTTATATTATTATTCTGATGTAATAGTAGTTTATCAGCACTGTCCTGGTGTCATAATAAAGTTTAGCATATAGCATTCATACATACAACATATATATAGCAATGTGGTGTTTCCTGTGAGTGCTGTGCTAGCATGTAGCTCAGACTACAGCAAGCTAATAATAAATTCAGCTTCAGGAGCTAGTTTAACTACAAAATACATTAAATCACTATAATATTTTATGAATTAATGCAGGAATGAACCAGCTTAGACCAGTAATAGTGTTGCATATTTGGTGCCAGCAAGGATAAATCTAAACATGTTTGAATTGAATAAACTGGAGGTAATTGCAGAAAAATATTTAGGGCTAAATCAATACAAATAGATTACCATCAGATGCCAAACGTGCATAAATAACTTTTATTTTTACTTTTATGTTTACTCAGTCTTTGTGCCTTTTTGTCCCTTAGGCCACATTTTTCTTAGAGGCCTGCTGAAAAGCTAAAACGCGTTACTGCTTATGCAACCTGTGCATGGATTTGGCTCGATGTGTTCTCACTCGGTTTAGGTGGTGAGGTAATGTGTTGGATTAGAGCTCTGACTGTCAGCAAACACTTGGAACGTCTCATTACTTTTGCAGTTATTTGAAGCCAGAGGCACAAAATTGTTACATAGAATAATTTTATCAGCTATACCAATTCATCACGGTGAGCTGTGTGGCCATTAATCTTTTTAAAGAGTTTCAGAGGTGGACAGGAGTAAGAAGACAAGTTTGAACTCTGCTCAGATCCCCTCCAGTTTTAAAACAAGAACAGAAAAGTGCAGATGGAGTAAAAAGGTTTTAGAAAGTCATCAACAGGAACTGTTGGATCATGGATGCCAACTCTGACATCAGAGGTTTTGAGGCGTTCTCTTGTCGGCGTTTATATATTTTAAGTTACGGCCAGAGGCAACGGCAGCTGAGAGTTTAAAGGGAACCAGCTCATAAATCTGAGAGGAAGGAACATAACTGAAGCAGAAATAAAAAACTAAACATATTCTATGTGACTGATTAACCTCTGTCCTGTTACTGGTGACTGCATTTAGATGCTGTTAATGCAGGGTTGCACTTGCATGAGTCACAGCCAGGAGACCTTACTATATTTGCAGCTGGCCATTGTCCACCACTGGAACTCGATCCACATTGTGCTGCTTATCATTCTGCTGCTGATACAATAGCAGCTGGTAATGCTTCACACATGACAGCTATTGGACAGAGACAACGTCCTGCTTGTGTGATGATGACAGAGCCGATAGCGGCGGAGGCATCCCTTCGTCTAAAGGCTCCGATTGTCATCAATCATCAACGTTAATCTGCATTAATGCTGGAGTGCTATCAGTCATGCATGGCTGGCTGCGTTCACAAGTGCCGGCTGTGATCTCTGTAGTTTGTAAGCATGGCTCTTAATCGGGGCTTTGCACTCACTTCACACAGCGCTTTAGGGTGTTTCCCTCAGTCAGATGTTTGGGGAGTTTGTTGCAGCCTGTGCAGAACTTGAAGGTATCTTCCAGCCTTTGGAACATCTCCTTGTAGTTGCGGAATGAGATTCCCTTAATCTTTCCTTCAACAGCAGCCCTGTTGAGAGTCTAACGCCAATTATTACTATGAAAACACCAAGAGGACCGGAGGCCAGATGTCAAAGGTTACCTGTAATCTCCATAGTCCTTCATGTTGAGTTTATCAAGAATCACTTTTGAGAGCCCAGGGACATTGGAGTCTAGGGAGTAGAAGCCAGACAGGTCAGAGAAGACACTGTCGGTCCCTGGAGTGAAGGACTGTGGGAGTGCGGGTGTCGGGGATGCCATGATGTGGCTGGCTTTCTCCACTAGATAAAGTTAAGGCAGGTATTAAAACCCTTCTAGGATCTGGTCTCAAAAGGTCATCTGACACATGAAGCTAACACACTAAACCCTTGGTTTGTCCCTTTTGTTAACACACACACACACACACACACACACACACACACACACACACACACACACACACACACACACACACACACACACACACACACACACACACACACACTGCAACACACTCTCTGCTTTCATGATCCTGGTGATGGGAGACCCCATGACAAGAGGATCCCTCAAATCTCAGACAAGCTGAGGCTCCATTTGTTCAAGGTCTTCGGGTTTGGGTCGTTGATCCTCTGCTCTTGGCAGGAATCCCCCTCCCTCCCCTTCCCACCGTTGCTGCTTGTACGCAACATGATTTATTCACTTGACCTTCCAGGGAGGGAGGTGTGTAGAATCATCTAATGGTGACACACACACACACACACACACACACACACACACACACACACACACACACACACACACACACACACACACACACACACACACACACACACACACACACACACACACACACACACACACACACACACACACACACACACTGTTTTGTATTTAGAATTTACTGGTTTGGCTCAAAAAAATGTCCTCGAAGACTTTCGCTAGGCTTTTGCCGCCACACTCGTTTGTCCCCCAATCAGGGGACGCTCTGGCTCGAAGGGGTAAAGTATTTTCGCCCAGACCTAAAAGTTGTCAGAGCTGCTTAAAGACTTTTATCTGTTTCACACCGAGTGTTGCTACTTTACTTTATCATCTGGAGACAGCACGAAAACCCTCATGAGTCATTTCATATCTTCAGAGCACCAGGGAGGAACAGATTTCCCAGGAGTTTTTTTTCTCCAATCCTCACACAGATTACCGTGACCACCCTTTGGCCTCTCAGGATATCAAGCCACTCTGGTCTCCACATTATCACATTTCATCCACACCAGCCATGCCAAACTGCCAGAAACGGAGAGAGAGCGGGACAATGAGATATTTTAGGGGTCATACCTCTGTTCCACAAGTCTCCTCTGATCCCGACGCAGGTTGAAGACAATGGTTGACAGCTTCTTGTGGTGGATGCCACCACCTCACAGAGCCTTTCTGGTTTCCCTGTTGGGGGTCTGTGTAAGACGTTGCCCTCTCCGGAGCTAAAGTGAGAGAAGGGACGTGAGGACTGGAAGGCTGCTTGCTGTCACCTGATGTGAAAAGGGGGGTGGATGAGGGGGATACTGGGTGGGAACTGGGATATAAGGCCAGCGTTTAGGAGCACCGGAGACTCCAATCAGGAGGTCCTAAAACACGAGGCTTTGCTGTATCGACAGTGATGTAACAGCATTTCCCCCTTAATAGTCAAGAGTTGGGTCACTTTCCTTTTTGGAAGACCAAAAAGGTAAAATATTATCAAGACTTAGGATAGTACGACATTCCTAGCTAGTTTCATGTTCAGACATAGATGACCTGAGTAAATATAGAATGTAGTTTTCAAATGTTGATTTCATTCAAGCAAAAAATAAATAAAACCTTCCAAAGTAACCAGGCCCTGTGTGTAAAAGTAAGAGTTAAACCATAGATTAACAGTGATTATGTATAAAGGGGAAACCTAAACCATTAGAGCATGGTGCAAAAGTACATTTATGTCAGTAATCCAGCTTAGACTAAGAGACCCTCTGCAGGTGTTCTGGACTCATTAGCTGATCAGAGTGACACTTTGGGTCTAGAATATTGGACATTTTCACAATATTCTGAGATTTTGAATGTGGGGTTTTCATAAGCTGTAAGTCCCTGATCTCCAGAAGTAACACAGTTATAACACAGTTATAACAGATATAACAAATATCTGGTTTGCATGTAAGAAGTCTGTCTCTTATATTAGTTTCATCTTTTAGGTTGAGTTAGTGATAGAAATGAACTTTTGCAGCAGCCACACACTCTCCTTCACTTCCTCTGGTCCATGTTGAGTGTGGTACACACCATGTCACTAAACAACACAGTGACCACCCGGAGCCCTACCTGTAGACACCTGTGATGCTTTGTTATTCCTTAACCCCATGTGCTTTTGTCTCGAAGTGTTCTGCCTGCAATCCGGCTCAGCCCCCCTGTATAGGGAGCAGAGGGGAGGCACGCTATCACCCTCACCCCTCCCTCCTTGTGTAGTTTTTATCTTTTGCTAAATGTTTTCTCCCCCTTCTCTCTCTATCCCTAACCTCACCCTCTGCCTCTCCATCACTCCAACCACCACCTTATACAGTACCCTTTAGTTTCACATAGTTGATGCCAGGCTGACCACTTTTTGTTATCTACTCAGTGCCTCATAGTAACTCCTGCTTAGCCTTGCTACTTACTATAAGTACAGAATTTCTTTTAGTTTACTAATCTCTTCTACCCTTAGCTTATTCACTGTTTTCACTTACTTAAAAAAGTCCAGGCTCCCCACGTTTAGTTTTCCACTCAAGTTTTATGACACAAGTTCTGCTGTTTGGTGTATACTTTTCTGTTTCGTCTCCTCTGGCCATCTACGCCCTCCCCAAACTGGTTATAACTCACCTTTGGCCTCCTGGCTCTAGTTTGGCTCTTTCCATTAATCCCAGATCACCTCTAGTCACCTACCACTTTTATTGAAAACTGATAGTTTATTGTAATGGCAGTTTTATTTAATGTCTTGTTTAATGTATTTTTTTTTGTTTGTGAAGCATATTGTGAGTTTGCCTGTGAAAAGTGCTATATAATACATACGTTCCATGAGTTTCATTCTGTTGATGCATGGCTGAAAAGCACTGTCTGACTTTCATTGGTTAAATTCCATAGAATTTGTATTTATTATAATTTTTGTCAGATTCAAGTTATTGATGACTATTTGTGAGTTTGTCGTTCATCGACCAAAGGGTACCAACACATTTGTCCATGTCTGCATTGTACCTGTAGGGTTAAGAAATCTCTTTAATAGGAGGACATGTCCCACAACATCAAGTTGGCTAAAAGATCTCAAAAAGCAACATATCCTGTAAAACCGGTCTCATATTCCCTAAATGAATGCATTTTAAACTTCTTGTAAGAGTATCTGTTCTTTAACTATTAAGGCACAGAGGCTAAAATCCCCCAAACCTGCTTTTGTCAGATTTGTTTTTGCAAAAACATAAAATTATGGTTGAAAATTAAATTCATGGCAACACATGCTGCTTTTTCACTTAAAAAAATTTATTTGGTCCATTGGAACCTGAGATTGAAAATTAAACATACATATTTGTACACAAAATCATCCCCAAGAACCTCCAAAAGATCAATAAAATATATCTCACATTAGTCACTTTCATCTTTAATTCTTCTCCGTTTGACGCTATTATTATTTTTACAAGTTTAAAAGTGTCAGAGTTTTTTCTGTCCCACCACTTGAATTTTTCAAAAACTTTGAGTCATTTACTTTTGCAGTCTGTACAATTTACATATAAGGATCTGGACAAAGGAGAGGAGGGAAAAAGGCATTGTGTTGGCTGCACTGGCCACTCCCTTCTTCCAGCAGCAGGGGGCGCCAAGAAAGCACAGAGGAGCCATCAACACAGACGCCAGCAAGGGCCTGACATGACAATTATGGCCAATAGAAAGTAAAAGAGTAGAAAATAACTAATGAATCTCATGTAAATGTGAAGCGATCCGGTAGTAATAATGAGGCGCCTGGACTCCGCAGGTGCAGGTTCACTCGGGCTCCAGCTGGACTTCATCACATTTTTTACTCATCATTCCTGAGCCCAGATAATCAGCCTTACTAGGAAACAGGAAAATCATGTGTACAAATTCATTTAAATTCACAGCTAAAAACACACAACAAGACAGTGGTCATCACACAGGATGGGTCTTTGGAGAACACACGTGCTGTTACCTCAGTGCTGGATTTCATGGAGGAAAAAGCACGGCCAGCGTTTCCTGGTAAACGCAGCTGTACAGAATAAAATCCATCAATGAGATCCCCCCCCCCCCCCCCCCCCCCCCCGAAAATAAACACATCAGTGTCACAGTGAACAATCCAGCTCTCCACCAAACAATCATGAATGCTCATCAGCTTTAAAGTGTTTCCTCGCTACACAACATAATAAGACACCAACTTTTAATTTAAACAGTCACCCACGCTGTCCTTTTCCTTTAGTACCACATCAATCGTCTCGTTGCACCGAAGCAACGACATACATAAAACATCTGTAAGTACCTGACACCTCCACGGTTACAGCCACGTGTCTCAGGCGTCCTGACCCCGACCCAACGGTGTGTATGCATCTCCATGAGCACTTTTTGTTGATGCTGACAGGCTGTTATGGAGTTAGGGAGAGGGAGAATGGCCCGGGTGCTTAGGCTGCTTACAAGCACACTAAAGTAAGTCCCTGATCTCCAGAAGTGAATTTAGCAGCTCCTTTTCAGAGCCCCCCTGTGGCAAATTGAGTTTCTTTAGTACACCAACACTTGAAGGGACACACTGGCACAACTGTGCAAGTGTGAAAAATGGGTAGGAAGTGACCTTCTCGGGCTGTGATGAAACCAGAATGCAAAACGTGGCCAGATGTTACATCGAGGATGTACTAGAAAAAAAGACAACTGCTAAAGTGAAACACCATTTACACCACTAACGAGAGGTCAGGAGAGCATGCAATGAGAAAAGAGAGGTCTGGGTTTATCTAATCACTCAGATTCTATGTTGTTTCAGCATTTCACGAGAAAAAAACCCTTGAGGTGCGGGAAAACGAGGAAGGGCTTACACTACTGACAGCAGAGAACACACAGCTATCTGGGCACCCGCCACAACACGTACAAGATGCTGAACTGTACGAATCAGGGGTTGGACCTGAGCTAGCACAGCACTGTGGTGGTGGTGACAAAACAAGGGACAGATGATGGCTTCGCCTACATGTACACACACGGATGAAACGATAAGAATCTGGTGTAAACCGAGTTGCGTGAGATGGGTTTGGCTCATTGTGTACCGCTCTGAGTATCTCTGGACGTGTAGAGGAAGTGTCTGGTTGAGGGACTGGCTCATGGTCTGTGGGCTGGCAGGTGGCTCAGTAGTTGCAGCGCTCTGCCCCGTCTCTGGACTCGCCGAGGGCTCACTGATATCTAATCCACAGCACAAGTCAGCACAACACCCCCCACCCTCAAACTGAAGCAGCTTGAACTGGACCCCCCTGACATGACAGGGGAAAGGGGTCCCGGTGACTTGACGCGGCGGCCCATCTGGAGATGGCACATCCCCTTGGTAGGAGGCAGAGCGCGTGATGAGGAGCGGCGGCGTTCCTGGAGCGTAGACGCTGCCTACAAAGACTTTACATTCATGTGTGCGTCCAAAGAGACACACAAACCAGCTCTTCCTCTACAGGTTTAGGGCTCCACTAAACACTCTTCAACCCTTGCTTTCATTTTCAGTGCTTAGACAGTTCATTGGATTAGAGTCTACGTGTGAGGGGTAATAGTGGGCGGGGGTCATAGAGGCCTGGGTTGGTGGAGGCCATCTATATCCGGGGTGAGCTGGGGGCTGTGGGTGGCCTTGGTGGGAGTCCAGTCACCCAGGGAAGCCTGGGCCGCCTTACGGTGAGCCAGACGATGGGTGATGGAGAAGCCGGCGTTCCCCTCCAGCTGAGAGAGTACCACCAGCACTTGCCTGCAGGGGGGCAGAGAGTAGGAATAGAATAAGACATTATTCTAGACAGAGTATATTTTGAGCTATTTTTAAAGCAGCCATCCAGAGTCCCCCCCTTCAGGAATGATGTATTTTCAGAAATCTGTAAAAGTAATGCTCTTACTCCGTACTGTGATATAATGTAGGAAATACATCAAGTTTTATTTTTATTTTTGCTTATCCTGATCTCCATCCCGCGGAGCCCCTTGGAACACTGGCATTAGCCAATAGTGTTAGACATCCTCTGACGTACAGATGTCAATCACAAGTGCTTGAGCGTTTGCAGACATATGGATGCAGAGGCGGCAACAATTCTCATGGACAAGCAAGCCTCATAAATATATTTATATATGAATAAAATCATAATGTGAGAATAATAAATGTAAACAATGTGTTTTAACTCCGCTGGCCGGCTGAGGTGCGTGTGCACGACAGTGAGGCATTGCTTCCAGCTGTAATCATGAAAGTGGGAAGAGGGAACTAGAAAACCTCTGGATTTCTCCTTTAAGTGTCAAGTGGTCTATGTAATTATTCTTAAATGATATCCATGAAATCATTTAAAGAGGAAATTGCAGGTTACAGCCTCTTTTGAACAAATATTTAGAGAAACATAATAGGAACTTGTTCTAAATAAAAATGTACACAAACAAATTATTTGGGCTTTGGGAGTTGTTTTAGTGAGAAAAATGTTTTTTTTTTCTTTTTCTGCCAAACCAGACGTGACGCAGGCATAGGGAGTCCTGTAGCTCGATCCAGAGACAAATATGGATTTTAATGCCGGTTCTGACACAGAGGAGACTTTAAATGTTTATTATTATACTTATGGTGGACCACAACCGTACAGTAATTAGCCTGCTGCACACCCCAGAGAGCAGAGGCAAGCCTGAGGGAGAAACGATGGACAGAGCAGAGCTGTGGCATCAGGAGGTTCTGTGGAGCGAGCAGGAGTCTCGTGAGTGAACGATGCTAGCTAGCTTAAACTTGTGTGCCAACATCATAATGTTTAACAGATTACTGCCATGTACCAGACAATTAAAATATTATTAGTCCGTTAATATAATATTGATTCTTACAACTCATAAGTTAAATAATCATATGTGATGAATGAACAAGATGTTTAAATCAAATGTTTGAATAATCTGTGCCTAAATCAATGAAGTTGAAATGAATATTGTTTTTACAATGATCCATTGCAGATCTTATGATCAGTATGTGTTTGATTTAACAAGTTAATCATTGTTTACTCTCTTTCAATAAGATACATATTAGGGTTAAAACATCTTTGTATCTGAGGAGGGCGTGGCTTTCTGATGGATGTTGGTAAATACTCAGAAACTTGTCAAATTCTGATTGGCCAAACTTGGTCAGAAATCATAACAAAGTAGTTTGATAAAACAAGAATTACTTCCCGAGTAATTCAGTTTCTAGCAGAGTATCTAACTGGCCGATTCGAAACAAGCATCCTTGAGACATCTCTTTTGACACACAGTCGAAACCTGTTTGGACACTGCAAGCTGACCCAGCCAGACGGCTCCCTAAGAGCCACATCCACTTTGGGTGCAAACAAGCATTCCAACTACTGTTGTGACCTGGAGACATCTCAAGACTGGACGGGTCGTATAATCTACGCAATCCTGGTGCTGTGAGGTCCACCCGACATCTGACAGTCCGGATCTGCTGGGGGTCTCCGCCAGGGTTTGTAGACACAACAGATTGCGTCTGATGCTGTTTATTAATAATCAACTCTCTAGTTTATAGCAGACAACAAATTCTTTTACAGCCAGATTTCACAATTTCTTTCCGATACAAAGATTCTGAGACACATCTAACTTACATCACACCACCTCACATTCCATCACCGCATATCCACTTCATCACATCTCATTATTCATATCTTATCGTGTATAATCATTAGTTTAGACAAGCATAAAATCCCTTTTTAACTATATACCTGACTCTGTCTGAACTAATACGAAGTGTGTTTATGGTCCCTGAACAAGTAAAAGTAACAATAATCTTCTGATTAAACACTCAAAGATCAATCAGGTTGATATTTCATATTTATACAGAATTATCACACCTTACTGGTCATAAATTATTTGCAGTCGTAACGCTATAAAGTGTGACCGCTACATTCGAATGAATGAAATCTTGACGTCACTGAACGCATCGCCGCCAGTCAATCCCACCTTTTGGTGCATTTCTCAAAATGGAATGAGGGGGGACTTGCTCTCTAATCCCAACAGGGCTGAAGAGCTAACGGCTAGTCTGAATACAACCCAAACCCATCATCAGCGGTTCATGTGGCATTATTGTAGGAGCCTTCCCACCGCTGACGGCAGCAGTCTGGTCTGTCTTCTAGGACGTGAACTCTAATTCTCCAAACAGAGGACATTCATAGACCTATTTCCAGCCAGTTAGTGATGACTGCCACCCTTTACATAGAAACACTTTAATAACACCTCTCCAATAAGGAGGCACGTTTGTGACTCACTGATGGATTACAGAAGAAATTAGTTGCCATTCAACATTTAGATTTGGGTGAAACAACTTGAAATTATACGGGGAGAAGTTATTGTTGCTGGGAGGATTATTCATTAGAACTCATTCAAAAATACTCAAAGTTATATAATCCCACACATAGAGGGGTATTGACTATGACAATAAACAGAATGTGATGTTTTAAGTAAACCAACAACAGACTAAACAGTCACATCAGTAGCTGTGGAGTGAGAAAAAGGGTGAAATGGACTTGGATGTGAGGAGTTTTGTGTCTGTAATAATGTAGGAGAGAAACCTAACGATGTGTGAACAGCTACACCGTGGAAGTCTCTCCCTACAACAGTGAGATAAGTATGAGCGAGTCCAACAGGAAACAAAAGCGATTAAGTGTGCCGAGTCCAGCCTGAGGACGGTTATTAATGAGTCTAGAGCTCCAACATGGTGGAACACTCGGTTTATATAAGACGTTCCTATGGAATTCAGGTTCCTCGTGACTTATCTCTTCAGGGTCATAAAATGTAGTCTGACTTTTAAAAAGTGTGTGTACCTGTGTAAAGGCGGTACGCTATCGATGGTCTTGAGGCTGCCGCGTGTCGACACCACATTGAAGCTGTCTGTGCAGTCACAGGAAACATGGAGGTAGTACTTGGGGTGGCGGTTCTCCACCACAACAATGAGTCCAGCCCAGCCGTGGGTCAGGTAGTAGCAGGTCATGCCCTCGCGGCCCTGGGAGGACACAAAGGACATGCAGAGTTCACATGTGGTAGCAGAGGACACGCATAAGGTTACGTCGTTTGATCCCGAGGCTGGCTGCTGTTTAACCGAGTGCAACAAACAAAGATAAGTTTCCAACACGTTGGTACTTTTTCAAGAAAAAACTAAAGGAAACAATTCTCTGGTCAAACACCAGAATGGGAAATAACCCGCTCAATACGCTCAAATCAACAGAATTACAAAGACAGCATCAGCATCCAGGAATAACGTAAAGATTTACACCAGTCATAGTTCCTGGAAGACTGTAATAAACTACACGGGTGCGCACGCGCGCACACACACACATACGCACGCACGCACGCACGGCTGCTGCTGTTTCACCTCCAGTTACTCAGAACACCCGCACACGACTAAAACTGTCAGCAGTAAAATGGTCTAATTCAGAGAACTAAAACTCCTTATCTTAACGTGGTAAAACACCAGATTGTGCAGCAGCAGCTATTTAAAGTGCTCTTCCCCTCGATTTGATTAAACAAAGCTGATCTACGGTCTTAAAAATGAATTTTTTTCTTCTAAAGTCTGATCTGTTGTGACTGAACTTGCAGGACGGGGTTGGTCAGAGTTTCCACACTTGCTATTGTTATCTGAAAGCTGCTCATCTCTTGTGAATACAGAAAACCCTCCTGGGTACTTTTCTATTTCTTCTCTCTTCAGCTTGTTTTAGTAAAACAGAGAATCACCTGAAGCAGAGTACAACTGTGACGTACAATAGAAAACGTTTCTCTGCCAGTTTGAAGGCAGATGACATATTTGACCATCTCTGTATTAGAAATGAAAGTGGGTGTTTTTGTGAGGACGTGTAAACGTCTGTTAAACAGGAACCAGTTTTATCTCAGAGTGTTTTGGTGAGAACATTTTCATTAGTATGACTGAAGGTGCTTGGACCGACAGACAGCCTCAGGCCGGACGGACAGCAAAAACTGATGTTTCAGCAGAATCTGGTTTCAAGGGGCAACAGGTGCTCAGGGGTTTCGCCCTGTAACCGGAGGGTTGTCGGTTTGAATCCAGGCTCTGTCCAGGTCAGTAGTTCACCCTCCTTGCCTGCTGTGGTGGTCAAAGGCACCGGTGGTGCCGACTGTGTCGGTGTCAAAATCTGCTGCTCATCCCCACCAGTACATGAATGTGTGTGTCTCTCTCTGTGTGTGTGTGTGTGTGTGAATGGGTGAATGACGGAGTGTAATCTGAAGCACTGTGACTCAGTATTTATAAAGTTGTTGACGTTGCACTGCTGTTGTGAACTAATTAGATTTTACTGTAATTGCTGCTTTTACGTTGGAAATAATCCCAAACGTTTGACCTTTACTGACCTTTACTTCAGCCCTAAAGTGGACGAGCTGTCAGAGCTGAAGCTGCAGGCAAAACCTCTCTGGAACAGAAACAAAACCTCTGCAGTGGCTCCTGATTTTTTATTTAAACAACTGTTTTTATGGCGCTGCATGGCGGCGCCTCATGCATGTGCGGGTTTTCTCCAGGAGGCCCGGTTTACTCCCACAGACCAAAAGGATCCACGCTATGTTAAATGGAGACTCTAAATTGTCCCTAGGTGTGTGAGGGACTGGCTCTGTGTCCGTGTGATGGACTGGATTGTCCAGGCTGTCCTTTTGGTTAGTTCTTTATGTCCAGTTCCTCCGACCCCACTGAGGGATAAGCGCTACAGGTGATGGATGGACCGGTTTTGTTTGACTCCGGCTGATGAAACAAAGAGGACTCCGTGTTAACAGCTACATCTGCATCTCGGGCTCTAGTTTCTACTCCGATAAATTCCTTTTTACTAAAGGGACTTTTTTTACGCCCAATTTTCTTTCTCCAAATTGAATTTGCCAAAGCAAAGACTGCGAGCAGCTGAAGTGTAAAATCATCCTGGGAAGATGAAACTGTTAAGTTTAAGAAAAAAGAAACTTTTCCTCCGTCTCACCTCGTGCCTTTCGCCTTTGTTTTCTGTGAGCAGGATGATGGCGTCGGCCAGCGTGGTGGGAGTGGCCTCCACCTGCTCGACCATCACCTGTCGGGAGCTGTAGATGGCCAGTATGTAGCCAGGGAAGTCCTGACTGGGCCGCCGTGCTGCTGCACTGGTGGGGCTGGAGACTGGGGGGCATAAATGTTTCCATCAGCGCTGTGACCAGGAGCAGATTAACTTCTAGTTTGTGTGAGCCTACTGGGAGTGGGTGGACCTCCTGTCCTGCTGACATTCATCTGCCAGTGGTTGAAGGCGCAGCAGACGACAGCGTACTCCCCCGGCTCCAGCATGACATCACAGCCGACAAATTTCTTCACCGCTCGCTTGCTGTGCGCCAGCAGGCGTCCCAGAGTCAGCTTATTGCTGCTGCCGAAGGAGGCGCGGAACACCATGATGCACAGGTCCAGCAGGTGGCTGTCGGCCGTGTCGGAGCGCCTGTGGAGGTGTTGGAGGAGGTGTTAGAGCAAGATCTGCTGGAGGAGGGAGGAAAAGGAGAGGAGAAGGAGGAGGGAGGGCTACCTGCTCCCCTCCTGGAAGAGGGCGAACTCCAGAGCCGTCCTCTCCAGCACGGTGAGAGCCGTGACGGTGATGGGACCGCTGGCTTTGCTGGGAAAGCTGCCTTGTAGCCTCACTTCTTGCCAATCAGAGTGGATTTTACAGATGTCCACAGAATCAAAGTATCTGAGGAGGAGAGAACTCGTGAGATCCTGGCTGTGAAATAATTCATTCTGGAGTATGCCGTTTAGCTTTTAACATTAAAACTGAGCAGAATTTCCTTTAATCGGGTATGAAACCGGACAGACTGCTGTTGTGTTGTTTATGTTTGATCATCTCTTCTGAATAAAATCTGCCTTTTTTATCTGCTCAAAGCTTTAGTTTTTTTTCTCAAATCAAACAGAGATGCTTATCTGTGAGAATAAAGTTTTTGCCTTAAAACAAACATTTTGAAAGGTAAAGTTGTTTCAGAGAACAGCAACATCTGGTCTCTGCACAAGAGAAGAGACACAAACACAGACTCGTGTTCTCGAGTGAAGAGTTTGTGTTTTTACAAACGCTGCAGTCCCGTCCTGTCCATGAACTCACCTCTGAGTGTCAAATAAAATCAGATTACTTCCACAAACACTCCCTCGTCTCGTGCTTTTCTTTCTTATCCGTCAGACTTTGATGCAACTCTTTCTTTTTGCTGCCAAGGGCATTATATGAGCGCGTCAGATTTGGTTTAAGAGCTCAGACTCTTGTGCTGCTTTCAAACTCTTTCTGGTCTCGGGTAAACAGCTGAACATCCATTTTAACTCTACCAGCAGATACGGAGGGCAGGAAACAAACGAGAAGAACGGGATCAAATCTAGAAGAAAACTCTCTTAAAGCCACAACCCCATAATAAACCCACCATCACGTCACAAGAAAAAACACAACAAGCTGTTTTTTTACTGGCACTCTGGTAAAAAAACTTTTACAGCGACAGGTTCAAACAGCTGGCGGTAATGGGAGTCTCACGTGTTTAATACATTTATGGCAGCAGGTCTTTTGGCATAAACACAAGTGTAACGTTAGCGGTCATGGCTGGAGTTTCATCAGCTGGAAAAATAATCAAAGGCACAGATTTCAGTAAAATAACTCAAGAAGATACTGAAAATACAAATAAACCAAATAAAAACCCACCAGTGTCAAGACTCATAACGGCCAGTAGGAGGCCGAGACTGGTTAAAGGGGTTAATGTCCCAGGGATCCGTCCCATTACGTTCAAACTAAGAAGCAAGAATCGAGTTTCAGGTGAAAATAAACTTCTTTGCATCTGAGCCCAATACCCGAGTCACGACTCGAGCTCGTAAATATTTATCCTTTTTGAAATTAAACAGAAATTCTTCTTTACAAGATTAAATAATCACAACCCAGGATTTGAGCAAACCTCCTACACAAGAACAGCAAGATGAGAAAATAAAAGGCTTTGTGGCTTTTTATACAATAATGTTATTACTTTATGAAGTCAGTGTACTCCATCCAGAAGACGCCTTCACTGCTGCCGTGAGCCATCAGCTCATGTCGGAGGTGCTGAGGCCAGTCGGGCCACTCGTCCGACCAGTTCCCATTCCAGGAGAAGCGACCCCACGGGTTACGCAGACGCAGCAGCCTGCAGCGGGGTGACAGGTGGGAAGATCAAAGCACATGTTGGAATAAACAGGAAGACTTTGGGGGCCAGGTGGATCATTGGATCGTCACTAAACTATTAAAAGATCATCAGAAGCCTCGTCACATCCCCGACCGACGGCTTTGTGGGAGTAAGCGAGTGTGGTCAGGCACGACTCCTGCAGCTCACCCCTGAGGCTTTCAGCTTCTTTCAGTGGTTGGATCTGAAGAAGCCAGTCTACTGTGTGGACTCACAACGCCTCTGACTGAACAAACTGATAAGCCCCGATTCCATTTACTCCAGGAGTTACTAACGGAGTTTATCTAACCCTTTAGCACCCAAACCCTTTTGAATTAGAAAACAGATTAGAATAAATTTACCAAAAAGTAGAAAACAATTAAATAAAATAAAGTAGGAGAATCATTTTAGATATTCAAACTTGAATATTTGACTCAAGAAGCAATTTTGCAGATGTTTGAACGGGTCCTTAAGTGTTAACGGTGAAAAATCACGAGTGCCATCTATTAGAGGCTTGTGCTGTGGTGGACTCGGAGATGTTTCCACTCAAATATGAACTGCTGGATCATTTCCTGCTTCTCTCCCTTTAGTGGAGATCAATCAGGAAAAGCTCTGCAGCAAATGAACGAGACCTGTGCACGTGGTCAGGCTCTCGTATGTTTTTGAGTACATTCAAGATTTTTCTTTGATTTTATAAACTACTGACAACATTTCCCTCCACTTCCAAACTAAAATATCGCCACTTAGAGCGCTGATTTGCAGAAAACAAACAGCCAAGAGAGTCCAGTTCTTTCAAGTGTCAAAGAAAACAAGTTTATGTTCTTGATCACAAAGAGATGCTGCTTTGAGAAAAACCAGCTGTGGTCTCTGAAGTTGTCCACAAACACCCCATGTCCATACCTGTAACCCTGAACGTCTCGAACATCCAAGATGGAATAGGCGTGTCGAGGTCTCAGACCTAAAGACTCGTAAACAGCATCGTCCACCTTCATGTTGCCTCCTCCACACGAGGCTCCCATCAGAAACCTAAAACACACACGGCACGGCTTCTATCACACATTAGGCCCTAAAGCCCCTCTCCCACTGTGGGTGTTTGTGTAAAAGCTCCCTCCAGCTCTTACCCCGCCTCCTTGGAGCTGAGCATCTTGGCCCAGATAAGGTCGGTGTCGATGGGCTCCTCTCGGGGGTTGGTGGAGCTGACCTGGAGCATGAGAGAGTCGCAGGGAGCTCCGGTCAGCGTGGCGAGGCCCTCGATGGCGCGCCCTGCCTGCAGGGCGAAGTAGGAGCCGTGGAGCTTGGCCAGTGCTTTCTCAATCAGCGCCACCCACAGCTGTTTCCTCTGGGCCTGAGGAGTCACGAGGAAAAGAAATAACGAGTTTGAACGGGGATGACTCACTGGGAGGGGAACAGTTAAGAGCAGGAAGTTCTTCTGAGTTTGGAGCCAGTATTCAGCGCTGTGACTCGTTTGTTACCCGTTGTCTTCTGTGAGGGCTCAACATAATCTTGGCCAGATAAACTGTAGATGTGGAGGGTTGTTAGCTGCTAGAGAGGCTAACAATCCTCCCTAGCGGGTTGATTTATTTATTGTGTAATTAAACTCTTCATTTGCTCAGTAAAATCTGATTAATTACATATTGCTGCACCGTGGGGTCCTTTCAGATGCATTAGTGATAAAAATGACGCTGATCTCATTAATACGACTGCACACACCCCCAGCTGAAACAGATGCTAAAAATAGAATCATGGACACAAAGCACTTTCAAGGTCCAATGTCTTTAAAACATGCGGACAGAAAGCATTAACACATCATGACCTTTGCTGTTTTGAGATGTTTTTTTTTACCTGACGGAAAAACATTTCTGCTGGCGAGTTTTAGAAAACCTTAACCTGGGAAAACAAGAGGTAGCCGTAGTCGTCACACGGCAGCATGTCGTCCACCAGCACCGTCGTCCACGTCCCGTCTTTACACAGCCGGACCTGGTAAGCTCCTTCTGGACAAATGGTCCTGGTGATCATCACTCTCTCCACCAGCTCTGGACGCTCAGCCAGCACGGCCAGCGCACTCAGGAACCTAAACACACACCAGATCACATGTTTCATCAAACACAAGCATAGCTGACAGGCTGCCATTAAGCTCGAAACCTGACATTAAAAAATGTATTTTCCACGCTGCTACCTTTTGCAGCTATGAATCTTTTTACATCATTTAGACTCAATGACATTTGATGAGTGGAGCTGCTGTGCCTCCCTGTTGCTGTTCATTCGCCCTGCAGCAAAAGGCTCAACTCCTGATTAGCTTCCAAGAGAAATTAGTTATTAAAAATTCCAGATACGTCTGAAAATGCTAATTCTTTAGCAAAAGGGAAACACAGCTGGGGACATGAAGATCTCACCCACAAGGAATTTATTATAGGGAGGAAATGACATTGAAACGCATTCTTTAAAATTGATGAACAGTGACCTAAGTAGAACAAAACTGCTGAATATTTGTCCTGTATGCTTCTGATTTTACAGCCAGAATTGAGTTTAACTGCATCTGTTTTAAAGAGGCCGAGCAGCTCATTCAGACTGTAATGAAACCATTCAGAAGAATCCAATAAAAGTTCAATTAGTCGTCTCATAACTCCGCTGTGATGTCGGCCTCCACTGCTGTTCAAGGACAAAGGTGAATGGGGCTTTCTAGTTGCTGTCGTGCGCACGGTGTGTGTGTGTGTGTGTGTGTGTGTGTGTGTGTGTGTGTGTGTGTGTGTGTGTATGTGTATGTGTGTGTGACTAAATGAGAGGAATGAAACCAACAAGGAAGAATGTGGGTTACATTCTGCTGCGAGAGGAGTTTTGCCTCTGGGGAGGGTTATTTTTGATAAGCTGTGCGTGCTGGTGACGATGTGGAAAGCTGGATTTGGACAACTTTGTGAGGAACAGTTCTTTGTGTGTGTGTGTGTGTGTGTGTGTGTGTGTGTGTGTGTGTGTGTGTGTGTGTGTGTGTGTGTGTGTGTGTGTGTGTGTGTGTGTGTGTGTGTGTGTAAATGAAAGATGAAAAACACACATAAAAGCACACATCGAAGGACAAACAGAACAAGGTCACAGAGATAAAGCATGTGTCCAAACCTGCCCAGCTATGAACTATTTCCCGGTCAGGTGCATCTGTACATCTGTCCAAGACGTTAGCCTGCTGATCCTCACCTTCTGCTCTTCGTTTTTCAAACCTCTAAACCATTTTTATGCTTCCTAAACATCATTTCTTGGACTTTCTGGATGAAAAAGTCCATTCTTGTTGGAGAAGGCTCTAATCTGTCAGCGGAATGAGGCTTCAGTTCAAACGGTGGGGTGGACATTATTTTGAATTTCCGAGGGGTTTGACAAAAGCGTTTACAGTGCCTACAGGCATGGTTAAATCCTTGATCGTCAAACATCGTTGGAATCACAAGAGCTTGAAAATGATGTGTGATATGTCTTTGTACATAGAACAAGTGTTAGATGCTGATTTGACGGTGAAGTTTGCAATCAGCGAGATTAATTTAAAGGCATAAAAAATTTATCATCACTCATAAAAAAATAGATTGGTGATTAGCGCGGCTAACATCTCACCTCTTATTGGCTAACAGCAACAAAACTCTTCCACTACCTTTGTTCGCTTTTCAATCATTGGTAAAAGAAATACGAGGCGTGGATGTTTTATCTCCACAAATAACACACGCCTGAAGGAGTGTGGTGGAGTTGCTAAAGCTAACGGTTAGCTTGTACTAGCCAAGTGTGCTCTCTCCCAGACGCTAAACCAACAACAACCTTCCGTGGTTGCAAGCCAAGATGGATGAGTCCGTGAATGCTAATTCTCGTGTTCAGCATGCATGTGAAACTCATCGTGACCAAGCGTGTTTCAAACATAACACGTATGATGCGTTCCTCAGTGAACAAATCCACACACACACAGAAGAGAACACTATAAAAACATGTTACTTCAGATTTTCAGGACCTTAATGTCCGGAACCTCGTTGTGTTTTGTTGTACCAGCTCACCAGCAGTTTCCAAGGAGTCCTTGGAGGATGTCCGAGGGCCTTGGTGTGCGGAAGACGGACCATTTAACCCCCCTGTCTTTGAAGTTGCTGCAGTTGATCTCGTGCGGACGCAGCCACTTTTTGATTCGCTGCTGGATGCTGTCACCCTCAGGGAAGCCCACAGAGAGAGGTCCAGGGGGGAAACTGTCATCCACAAAGTTCACAGAGTTCTGAACAGAGAAACAGCCGAGGTTAGAGAGGACAAGTGACAGACAGGTAAGCCTGCTCAGATCTCTACTGAAATTCAGAGGATTCAGGGGATAAACGTGTCCAGTTTGAGCTTTGCAAACAGCTAAAACAAGCCTGCAATGGGCTTTAAGCTTTGGTTTCTAGGCTAGTTCTCATTATTTGAAACTCTTACACACCAAAACACGTTTTGAATAACAGTCCTTAACATTTACTCATGTGGCAAAGATTAAGGGTAACCCCTGGTAACTGGTGTCATACTGGCAAAGCACCAGCATGGAGCAGCTTATTTAATGAACAGAATCAAAACTATTGAGGAACCAAGAAGCTCCTCAAGTTTCATGTTGCTGCAGCTCTGAATTACATAATTTTAAGACACTGCGTCTGCCTCTAAACGACACCGATACAATAACACACACGGACACCCAATCGGAAACACGATCCGCCCATCTGAAGCGCTCATCCACAGACCTGGGAGCACACACATCGAACCATATTATATTTCCTCTCCATACGATGTAAGGAGTGAGCTCGGCCAGTTGTGTTGCAAGGCACGATAGGTGGCTCACAGTGAAGCGAATTGATTGGTAACCCTCCCCCACAATCCCATTCTGCAGCCTGGATGCAGCATCAGCTCCCCGACAGAATCACTTTAACGCTTCCTCTCCATCCCGGGTCTCTGCATGGCTCACAGAGCCTGTGGTTCACCGGCTTTGATCATAGAACAAAAATGCTCTAACAATTACTTAGGAGTAAAAACTAAATCTGATGAATGGAGAACCATTTGATAAAACTGTGGAAGGCTTTTTGGTCATTTTTAAGCACGTTTTTGTGTAAATGTAATACATGTTTAACACCGTCCCCGCAGTAGACAGCTTTCTGAACAACCTGTTTGAGGGAGTTGTTTAAACCCTATAGGACTGATAGGCTAACAGCTAGTGTGAGCACATCTTTAGCTCCTGAGACCAGAGTCTTTTTAATGAGAAATTTCTATTCTCCCTAGCTAGGACCTCATGGAAATGGAGCAACAGGCAGTCAGAGGGTTAGGAGCTCACCCTTCAACCAGTGGGTTGCTGGTTTGAACCCAGGCTCTGTTCATAGTATAAGTCGTTCTATTTTTGGGAAAGACACTTCCCATTTCTTTTCTGCTGGGGGTGGTCGGAGGAGCCGATGGCGCCTGTGTACAGCCCCCTCGTTTCTATCAATGCACCCCTAGGCAGCTGTGGCTACATTGTAGCTCATCACCACCAGTGTGTGAATAAACAACTGTAGCGTAAAGCGCTTTGAGGTCCTCTGACTCATAAGGGTGCTACTTGAGTGTAGGTCATTTATCACTCATATTAAATAACCAATTAGTGAAATCAGAAATTCCTGGCCTTGGCTGCACCAGATGAGCAACAATTAGCTGCTGCTGACATTCCTGTCTGAGTTGTAGCGATACATAAAGGAAAACTGGGACAAAGTTTTAGGACATGTGCATTCTGACAACCTCATCAGTCCTAAAGAAAGTAAACACTTTCTCCAAACTGAGGCTGTTTAGGATCCCATTCACAAACAGCAACTCTCCACATCTTTCACATAGAAAAACTGCTGAAAAGTCCCTTTAAGGTGGTTCCATCCTCATGAGTCTGGGTGGCTGTCCTCCCTGGGTAAACCTGGTGGAGGTGTCTCTGTCCCTGGGTCCACGCCAGCCTGTAAACTCACCACTGCAATCAGCCAATTGAGCGCTGAGTTAGGAGAACCTGCTGCTTCCCTTTCATCTCCCAGAATACACGGAGCTGGCAGCCAGACAAGGCTTTTTGAGGATCCTGAGCTTGTAGCAAGATATCTGCATGTTACAGCTTATTGATCTTTTAAAATGTGGTGACGAGGAACTATAGCACTGGGTTTCTCGCTCGCTCGTGCACGCGCACACACACGCGCACACACACACACACACACACGCACACGCACACACACACACACACACACACACACACACACACACACACACACACACACACACACACACACACACACACACCCAAGAACAGCCTGGTACATAGCAGCCGGGAGTCAGAACTTCCAATCTGAAACACAAACTAACATCCCAAATCTGAGAAACACTCAGAGAGCAAAGAAAAATCGGTCTGTTTTTCTGTTAAAGGATGAAACAAGAGAGCAGAAATCATTCAAGCCTTGATTTATGTTACAGCTGAGCTCACACTCTTTGCCGTTTGTAATGTTTAATGTGTGGCACGAAGAATGAGCAGGCACACTGAAAGCATCAACACACACCTTCCACTCTAAAAATTCATCTGGCTGAAATCAAACATAAATCCATCTCCACTACTGGGGTTTATTGATGCAATGTGGGTTAAACCACTGCAATAGCCTGTGCTTGTATGTCTAGAACAACAACGAAATCTGCTTCATCCAATAAGTCAAAAAAGACAATCAGGCTGTCTGAAACACGCTGGTTCGACTGCCACTCGCGTCTGGTGAAGAAGAGCAATTTACATAGTATGTCTGTGTCCCTTACAGTGTGCTGCTTAGATCTGGAAGCAGATTTTAATTTTTTTTGTGTGCTTTTCAGTGGTTGAAGGTTACAGTAATAGCTTACTGCCGATGTGCATGTACCTTTGTTACTATTTTTCTTCAGATTATTCTCTTAAGTGTTTGTGCTGCTGTAAGGTGAATTCCCCCACTGTGGGATCAATGAAGTCTATTCTATTCTATTCTATTCTATTCTATTCTATGTTTGACTCCTAAAACGGTTCAAATGATGCCATTGGTCAGTAGATTCACCTCAAGAGAGCAGATAATTTCCTGTCCTCTTCTTTCCTGCTCTCACGCCAAAAATAGCTGCGCCCTATGTTCACCTTCATACACACAGCAAGCAAGACACACATAGTCGGCTGCAATGGAGAATTGAGTGCAGTTGTGTGGAGAGGGCACAGTGGAGGTGAAAGGGGAGAGTCACAGTGGGATGGGATGGTTTGAAGACTTTGCAGAAAAGAGGAATGTGTGTGGAAAGAACTACACAGAAGGGATGATAAAAATACAAATGTGGAAAGAATGTGTTGATTCAATAATAATCCTAAACTAGGGAGATGGTGAAGGGTGGGGATGAGGGATCTCCGGTATCCTTGCTCTCCAAGTGACTCGACTTGCCTCCCACGCGTGCAGAAATGTGCCCTGCCACTTTCAAAGAAGGCATTAATAATGCATTCTGAAGCTCACTTCACGCCATTGTAAACACGAGATGATTGCTGCAATGCCGGTGTCGTAAAAAAGGCAAAAGACTGTTGAGTAAATTCAGCAAATATTGGGCAGTTCCACAGAAACTTAGCCACTCTGAATTCTGCAGAGCCCACGTTTTCCTCAAGTCGAGTCAGATTTGTCTTATTAGCCTTGGCGTAAGACGTCTTAACAAATGGCTTCAAAACGAACCCTTCTGACGGCTGGGAGAGCATATCCATGACAACATAATAAAGGCTCATCAAAAGGTTCGGCTCTGCAGAGACAGCTTAAGCTTGCAGCGGTCTAACCCATGGAAGCAACAGAAAGGTTGTCACAGTTTGGTTTTAGTTGCTAAGGAGGATGTCTCTGCATCTCCAAAACAGCTGACTCACACCAATCAGATGCTATAAACTAAATGATAATGATAAATGACCCGCACTTGTATAGTGCCTCTCAGAGTAAGGACTCCAAAGCGCTTTACACTACAGTGTATCATTCATCCATTCACACACACATTCACACACTGGTGGGGATGAGCTACGATGTAGCCACAGCTGCCCTGGGGCGTGCTGACAGAAGCGAGGCTGCCGAGCACAGGTGCCACCGGACCCCCCGACAACCACCAGCAGGCAAGGTGGGTTAAGTGTCTTGCCCAAGGACACAACAGCAGAATTCTCTGTCCGGAGCCGGGATCGAACCTGCAACCTTCCTATTACTGGACAACCCGCTCAACCTGCTGAGGTACTGCTGCCCCAAACAAACTAAACAAAAGACCTCAAAGTGTTTCTGATTACCAGCCGCAGAAACCCATTTTCCCTCCATTAAATAAAAAGAAAAACATTAACTGTGAACTTTTTGACACATAAACATCTTATTCAAATGCATTATTACAGTGTGGACATGAATATGCTATGATCTTTTAATAAAACATGAAAGCTAAAACAAAGAAGTTCCTTTTAAAGGCAAATTACATTTGGTCATGGCTGAACAGGAATCAAAGGAATAATTAGATCCTTTCAATACAAGCTTTACAATCCTAAAAGGAATCAGGAAATATTTGAAGCTAATTTACTGGCACCTCTGGATATAAAAATCAGACACCAAGACATCAGCGAGGAGCTCATTTAGCTTTTTCTTGCTGGTAGTTTAAAAATGCAGCTAATGAAGCAAGAGCAAACAGGGGCGATAAAACCGACCGACATTTCTGTAAAATGAAAATGACTGGAAACGGGAACAGAAAATTGCAAAAAGGAACAGAACCCAGAAAGGCAATGATCTACGCCCATCTGAGTGTTGTACTGTATGTGCGGTATGTAGAGTGACTCATGATTAGCACACCACTTACTGGCAGTTTTACCCATGCTGAAGTATATAACTGTTCCACAATGTAGATGGCCCTGTGAGCAGGCTCTATAGGAGAAACAGTGATAACAGGACTGATGCGCTAATGGCTAGTCTGAGAATAGCCAACACCGACATGTGATGTCATCCATATTTATGCAGAGGCAGCACATCCATAGGTGTTGCTAGGGCGCTGCCCCATCAGTCTCACAGGAAGAAGAAGAAATAGATAAGAATCAAGAAAAATGAAAAAAAAAAGTGAAAATTTAAATAAATGATCTATACATCATACAGGCTATAAGTGTTGTGTGTGTTCTGCATTTAGGTGTAGTTTAAAAATGTTCTCTCACACCTTTACCACAATCAAATCGTCTTGTGACGTATTTCCTGTTCCTTCTCTAGCGCAGCAATCTTTACCATCGGCCTACACTATAACTGGCACATGCTCTCTGTCTGGATCCACCTTTAATAAAAAGAATGGGAGATAGTTTTGGGGCGCAGAAGAATGTGACCAAAACATTCGCAGAAGACCGAAGTCTCGGCTCAGGATGTTCACCCGGAACCAGAAGCTCTTAACAGTTCAGTTTTTTTTTTAGCTCACTGATCTTTTGTCGTTATAGAGTAGCTGAGGACACCTTGTGGAATGTTTTTATTATGGAGAACCGGAAAATGATGGAATGTGTTGTCAGATTTGTAAACACTCTTCAGCAGGTAAAAACAGGCCAAAACAATCAGGAACCAACTCAGTGTGATGTTGGACCATAGGATTACACACAATGCGTGGATTTTCTTTTTACTATAACACAGATTATTATGACCATAACCCAGCAAAGTTAAGACTGATTTTATGCTTCTGACTTCATGAAATTAGCTTTGTTTTGGTGGCTTATTGTCACCGGTTGTTGTTGAGGTAGAAAATGTGAATTCTACTTCTTAGATGAGTCTCTTCCTGTTAAGTACGTGTGCAGTTTGATTACATTGGTGAATATTAAGCATGTTTTTGGAAATACCTTGTTGCCGGAAGTGCTCGTGTACCTGGTACTGGGTCTGTCAGGTTGTGTGACGCATAAGAATGGTAATTTGGTGTCCCCTAGTAGGGTGACCAGATGTCCTGCTTTGTGCAGGACAGTCCCGCATTTTCATAACTTTTCACGTGTCTCGCAAATTGAGACTCGTGTACCGCATTATTGACAGTTTCCCGTTTCGAGTTTCAATCTTATAGAAGAAAGTGTGGAGAAATCTGCCTGTTGCTGTCAATCAAATGGAGGCGGGACTTTAACGCAGATCTGGAGCGTGTGTGGAGCACGCCCAAACCACCAAAACAAGCGTGAGCGAGCACGGAGGAGAAAATGCTGTAAACGTGTGAATTAAACGTGATCAGAGACACTCGACAGAGTCTTTGTTGTTTCCGAGTCATGTTTTCATGTCTCGGTGTGGAGTGATATGATATGAAGAGGTCAAAAGCAGGTTTTCCAGTAATTAGTCAGGTCCATGATAAACACAATGGAGGTTTTAACACAGACAAGGTGCTGCGGTTTCAGATACCTGCGTACATGCTGAGCCCCTTAAAGCACAGTGAAGAAATAATGAGAATCAATGGAAGCTTTGATCACTTATTCTCAGAATAAAGTAACCCTAAGAAACTATTATTAGATTAAATATGAATTTTTTAGAGATTAATCTGATGTTTATTCTCTCACCTAAAATCTAGAAGAGATTTGTTGTCATGTTAAAAAAAACGTTTTAATTCTGAATTATGAAAAAAATTGCAAAAAAGTATGGATACTTTTACAATGAGATGCTGATTTTAGTGGAATTTATTTTTAAACAAACATAAATAGATCTAAAAACCATTACTGGTACTTTTACTGTCATTCAGTGGTGGAAAGCATTCAATGAAAACTCTGAAAAGCTGCTTAAACCTGCATTTGTTTTATTATTGTGGGCCCATCTATATTATTAAAATGATCAGAGCCACTACAGAGTTATGTTGTGGTAACTTGAGAGGAACTGTGGAATAGTAAAGCTTTTGCTATGCTTCTTCATGTTGAATTCAAATAAAATATATACAAAAAATATATGATGATAATAAGAATAATCATTTTATGTATACATAACAGTGATATTAGGGCTAAAAGGCAGAAGATTCATTTTGTTTGTTTGTTTTTTCTCATTGGAACTTCGTGTTGTCCCACATTGAGAAGTCTCTGCCCCACATTTGGCAAGTTGGGATCTGATCACCCTAAATGAAGGAGTATCGCTCTACACATAAGCAGAGTGTGCATGCGCAGGAAATGAAAACTAACCCAGGAACGAGCACATACGATGACGGCCTTGTGTGAAAGCTTCACCAGAATGATGGACCAGTGGTTCAGATGATCCTCCCAGAAGAAAAAGATCCTCAGCTATACCTTTAAATTAAATACTGGCTGTTCTCACATTAGCCATCTGCATAGCAGTCCTGTAAAACAAACATTTTTGCCCAAACTGATGTTGTTCAGAACCTGATCTACAGTATAACAGCAATGATTCAACTTTTACACAAAGATACAACTTTAAAAAGGCCAAAGAAATCTCTTTATGGTGTGATTTATTCCATGCAGTTGGGTTGCCAATGTTTTCTAACTGGTTGAATTGTTTTCATTTTTGTCATCTCACATTTAGTCTCACTTATAGTTAATAAGCTTTGTTAGGGTTATGGTTTTTATGTTTGTAAATGTCATAATTAAACTCAATGATCCATGCAGTTTAGGAGTGGATGAAGATAAAACGGTGAAATCGGATCAATAAGCCTTCTTCGCTGATTATTGTTTTGTTTTTTGCAGACTCTGCTGAAATGTGCAACATGAACAGATTCTGAGTTAATGCAGCAGAAGTACACATTCTGGTTTTATTGATCTAAAGCTGAAGTTCGATCCAGCGCAGTAGAGTCAAGGCAAAGTGACAGACTTAATTCACCCAATCTAGATTATACAATGGGACCTCAGTGGAACTGCAACAGACCCAGGGCCTGGGGCCTCTTATCAAAAGGCCACAGGCTGGTGGGCTGTTCAGTATAATCAGAAACAGCCCAAAGCCATTAAAAGTCATTTTAAACATACAGTGGCCAAGCCTTTGATGAAGTTTCCAGCTAATACTTGTGCTTCTCTTACCTCTCTGCAGAAGCTAATGATGTTCTCCCAGAGTTCCTTGGCTTCACCCTCGTCATTCCGCCGACGGGCCTCGACATGCATGCTCTCCCTCCTTTTTAGGGGCTTGATGATCTTGCGCAGAGTGAGGTACTGCTGGGGTGTGTGGCATGCTGCACAGTTCTTAGCCTTGATGTCATTGAGAAGCGTGCATGCTGGGCAGCTCCACTGTCCTACCTTCTCCAGAAAGTTAGATGGGGTGGAGGAGGAAGAGGAACCAGAGCAGGCAACGGCAGATGATGAAGGCGGAAGAAAGCCACGGGGCTGTTTCCTTGTTTTATGACCTGAAGCGGATGAAGATGAGGAAGGTGTGCAAGAGCATGACGCAATGCCAGGACCTGACGAGTGGCCACAGTGTGTGCAGCAGCGGGGCAATGAGGGCTGCTGCTCCTGAAAGCCATGAAGTTTGGAAGAACCACAAGCTGAGCACTTGTGTGCACCTGTAGGGTTTCGCAGGGTGCACTTGGAGCAGGCCCAGGTACTAAAGTCCGGACTAGAGGGGCTGGCTGGTGTAAACCGTACCGTTTCACAGCCTACCAGGTCAATGAAGTCTGCTCCGGCTCGTGAAGTTCGGCAGGCCTCACACTTAGATGGGCCACAGGGGTTGAGCGAGGAGCAGCCTGGGCACTTCCAGGCAGGGGGTGCTGAGGGAACAAGGGGGGAAGTCACTGGGTGGTGCTGAGCATCTTCTTCTTCCAAGATGCTGAGGCGCTTGCTGGGGTAGGAAGGTTCCTGGGGTTGTGCATGCTTGGGCTTGGATGGCCGCTGTGGGCCCTGCTGAGGTGGCACACTGGCTGTTGATGGGGAAGTGGGGCTGGGGGTATTGGTTCCAGGGTTCTGAGGGCGACCAGGAGGGGGCACCTCTCTCCTGCTGCGGGGAACAGGATTGTTCTGGAGAGAAGGGAAAGAAGCAAAAGGCGACGACAGGGCCTGTGCAGAGACATTGGGAGATTCTTGAGGATCACAAGGAGGAGATGTGGCAGACTCATCCGTTAGGTCAATGACTAGCGGAGCTGACCCAGCTGAGTGAACAGGAAACCCTATGACAGGCGTACGCACCTCAGGGACTACAAGAGCCTCTGGAGGGATTTTAGGCAATGACAGTTTTCTGGGTCCACCACAGGCTGAACATGACATTGCCACAGGGGTGTTGTGTAGCGTGCACCGAGAGCAGGCCCAGCCTGAGTCCTGTCCCTCCAGTCCAGCCACCTCCCCGTTGCTCTCAGACCGCCTTAACACCTCCTCCTTGGCTGGGTGCTGTCCACTGGGCTCAAGCAGAACTGTGGAAGTAGTGGTAGGCGTTGGGAGTTCATTCTCAGCATGTGGGAGGCCATTGGCAGTGACGGCTATGGTGGTGGTAGGGGGGGTGTTGGTGGCAGAGGACGGACCAAAGCCACAGACAGAGCAGGCTCCAGAACCCTGAGGATTTTTGAGAGTGCAGCGTGGACAGGCCCAACGATGTTCCTCGGTGCTGCTCAGCCGCAAGATGTGGTTGAGATCAGGTTTCTGGCGTGGTGCCTCGCAGATGGAGCAGCGAGGCGCTGCACCTGTGTTTAAAAAGGTGCAGCGCCCACAGGACCACTCGCTGCCTTGCACTGCTGCTGCCATGGAGCCAGGAGAGTGAGAGTGGCTGGAAAACAGAAAACAATGAGTCAGAAACTACTTCAAAGAACAAGCTAGTCTGTGATAGCTTTTTATTTTTATTTATTCTTTGCTGTGTGGTTGAAGGCGCCTAGCAAAAAAGAAGGCATATGAAAGTACACAGTCACTCAAGATGATTCATTCAGCTACACTTTGAGCAACATTTGAACAAATGGAAAAGGAGAAGAAAATATGGAAATATGTTGAATGAAAGAAAATGTTAGACACCAGGGGCCTCATTTATCAAGCTTGCTTACGCACAAAACGGGGTCGGAAAACTATGTAAGCAACTTTCCACGCAAACTTTGGGATTTTGAAAGAAAACTTAGCAGAAAAATGTGCGCAACTTTAAGTTGACCAAGGACCTTGCTTACGCACATTTTGGACATGGCGAGCACCTGCAGTGCTGCTGCTGAGAAGGATGCAATTATGAAATCCTGCAACATTATCACTTGTACTGCTTCGTTTTCACACAGAACAAGACCCCCCATGCGCACACACACACACGCGAGTACACACACATGTGCGCGCACGCACACACACACACAGCCTGAAGCGTAGAATACAGAATGCAGAAAATCAGCAGGGGGACAGATTGAGACAGAATGTCATGCGTCTGTGACAGTGCGTCCTGTCACTGTGACCCGATTGATCATGCGCCCTGGCTTCTTGGACAAGGGAGATTCCTGTTTGGCTGACTGGTTAGCGTGCAAGACTTTCACCCAGGAGTCTGGGGATCAAATCCTGATCAGATATTTTTTTTTATACCCGCCACAGACCTCTCTGAAGAATTCAGCATTGACAGCTTCAGCAACGCTGTGCCACTCCGTGGACTTTCTCTTATTTATTTTGCAAAAGCACTTCCTTTCATTTCTCCACCTCACCCACAGGTACCTGAATTTCTGCTTGTGAAATAGCACTTCCTTGATCTGTGGTTGTGATCGAAATGCTGCAACGAGCCGGCTTTATGTATATGCATGAGAGCCACAAGGCACTTTGCATTGACCATTTATGGCAGTAAGTGGGCGTGGTGAGGGCGGGATGTGACTAAAATGCAGCTGAGAACACTTGTAGATAGTTTCTGATTAATGAAGCAGAGATTGCGTGCAGCTGTGCGTACTCCATGTTTGATAAATCACAAATCTACTTGGCATAAGTACTGTTCTTTGCTGAGCTTAAGTACGGTTTTAGTAAGGATTCTACGCAATGTTTGATGAATGAGACCCATGGAGAGGAAATATATGCTTTGATAAACTAAAGGAGATCATCTTCAGGAACAGAGGACTGCAAAACCCGAGGAAGAAAGACAGAATTAGAAACCTAAAATAGAGTGTGAGAGGGAAAGATTAGCCGGTGCAGGGAGAGGGGAAAAAAAATCAAATCTCCCACTCGGGGACATTGAGGGCAGTAAATCCATACACAATGACCACCTGATTAAAGCCAGTGAGACAGCAAAGAGAGGAGGAGCCAGAGGGAAGGCGAGGAGAGAAGACGAGACTGCTCCATCGGAACATAAGGCCAGCCATGCCCGAGTCATCCTGACTGACACTTATTAGAATGAGAGGAACACACAGGATCTCTTCCACTTAATATTAGCACCTCTCGCTGTGCTCCGAGAATGTTAATGCAGTGCAGATGGGATCAACCTAAGGTCACGTCAATCCCATGGCCAAATGGATTTCAAATGGATGAGTGTATTAATGCCAGTAGCACTTATGACTCCGGCATATTTTTAAGAGAAATTATTCATGCATCCAGAGGCAAAGCTATTAAAATCCAGGCATAAATACCTTCAACCGTACTCAACGCATGTATAAAATGGCGGGAAAAATCCATCTTTCAAGCCAGACTCATCCGTTGATTTCCACTTCCTATCAATTTAAACCTAAAGCAGTGAATCAGAGTGGAGGATTGTAAGTGCAATTCATCCCACGTCCTGCAGTTCAGTCAATCTGACTCTATCGACAGTGGATATATTAGGGCCTTTAGAGGGAGAGCAGCACAGCTGGAATCTTCCAACTCTGCAGGAGGGTTTGGAAAAAGCACAGCCCTTAGGGACGGACAGGCTTACCGTCCAAAAAAAGTCCATAAATGTCACTGTCACTTAGGCTCCTCATGTGTGAACAACACAGAGAAGGTAATGTAGGGAGTTTTGCAAAAGTGGGATGTGAGGTGCTAAGAGTCAGATACTGCAGTGCGTCTCACATCAGTCCCAGAGGGCAGGATGCTGCCCACAGTCTGACAAGCTTGAGGCTCTGCTTGAATTTATCGCCATACTGTTTTATCTTTTCCAGAATCTAAGGCTGGTTTGGTAAACGCTTAAGTGAGGAGGCTCTGGTTTGTGGCTATTTGTAAAATTTAGACTTCATGTAAAACAACCTGGCTTTGTTGTTGCAGACACTGTCCTACACCTACAGACAAAAAAAAAACACCAGTGTTGGGTAAATTGAAGGTTTAGAGCATGTCAGCATGCTTGGCTTGTTCCTGAAATATCTTGTGAACTGAGAAAGATGGGGTGTACACCACCCTTCCCTTGGGAACACCAGGGATAGACTCTGGCACATCGGCTCTACAAACCTTCTGTTGTCATACTACCACAGCATTCTCGAAGCTCAAAGGACATTTTAATACCACAGGAGAACAAAAGATCTTTTTGGACAGGTTAGATTCTGCCCTTAAAGATAGCTGCACTGCCATGTGCACTGGCCAGCCAACTGCCCTTACTTCAACTCCATTAAAACCTTTCAAATCAGCCAGATCTTCAGAAGCCAGGGGGTACCTCTTACTGATAACATCTTGCTGCCACTGTAGCTCTGCTCTCATCAGCTCTCCTCCCTAGGTTAAAGAAGAGGAAGACAACAGGGAGGGACTCAAATGTTCCACCATGGTGGCTCAAGGGGTTGTGATAATTTGTAGAAAGGTATGGAGCTGTAGTTTTGCTCCATCGATGCCTTATGCTGTTTTTACCTAAGTAGGTTTCCTATTGTTTCATGTCAAAAGCCATTGGCTCTGCATAGACTCTTTTGACCTGAAGTCATCATGAGAAAGAAACACATCTTTCCAACCTCAAACATAAAAAATCTCCATTTTGTGAAGAATGTATGCTTTTTGACAGTAGCCTTTCACCATACAGTGCTATTACAAAGTATAGGGCAAGCATTTATTGAAGAAATGCATTTTGCCTGCTGATTGCCGACTAGAGCTTTTGACTAATATCTCATGTTGAGAAATTCTAGAGGTATAGGTTTATGGATGTCCCGATACAACTTTTTTCACTTCCGATACGATACTGATATCAATCTGATACGATATCAGCACAACTCATGCATCCTATTACCTATTTTCTAGTGTGGAAGGTATGAAAGGCTTGCTCATGTGATATTACTCAATTGGAGAACAAAAGCCAATAACAGTAAGTATGAAAAAGAAGACAATTTTTTTTAACCACTGGTTGCAAAAATGTGAACCTTAACGGGCCGCTTATATCAGAGATTTTTTATGCCGCCGGATACAGAGTTTTTGGGTGGATATCGAAACGGGACACATCACAATGCATTGATTAAATGGTGAATTGGCACATTACTACTCAATCCACGTTCGAGCATTTTGCAACAGAACATCACCGGTGTGAGAGGGTTCGTCGCTCAATAATATCAGAGAAGGAGAAACAGCCGGCTGCTATCACTTCAACACAAAAGAAAAACACCATTTCAAGTCATGGACAGCAAAAGATGTTTGGATGTAGAAAATGTGTTATGGGCCCTCTCATTTCCTCTGGCAATGTGGGTTCCGGTTCCAGCGGATGTGGCCCAGAGATGCTAACCAGCTGGGTGGGCGAGTGTTCCGTCACTGTGTTTGTGTTTTACTGCTAGCTTGTTTGAAGATTTGCCATTGCAGCATTAATGTGAGCACACTGTATATTTGTTTTGAGTCTACAGAATGTTCTGTACACCCTCAGGTGGAATAAATTAGTAGCACTATGCTAACTTTGATGGTAAATGTTCAGACTGTGTTTTGGCTCTGTGAAGACCTATCTGAGGACGGCGAGAAGCTACAACACCAACAACAAAGAGCAGCGAGTGCCACCACCTCATGTCTGATGACAGGTTCTACCCCATGGCCATTTTCACAACCGTCAGGCCTCTCATCTTCAGCAAGAGAGCAAAGTCACAGTGTCAGGCATCCACGCAGAGATGTTCTCAAGGCAAATTAAACGTTTCTTCGCGCAGCTTTTAATTACAGTAATCGGACCCAAATTATTCCTAATACCTAGATTAATCATGAGAACCCTTTCTCATTAGCCATACAATTACAGAGCTGCATTCTGAAGCAATAAGTACTGTACATGCCTGCAGTAGAAGATGAATCATTACACACATGATTCCTGAGTCCTGACCTCACTTAAAAGGACATTTCCCATGTTCATGTACAAGTCACTCACAGGAACTCCACAAACACACATGCACATACATACACCCTTTGTCCTTGGCTTTGTGCTAAGAAGAGATGCTCTAAAAGTGCTCACTTCAGCTCATCAGTTCCACAGTGTTGCAGGACTGGGCAGGTAGCCAGTGGCTTACAGGGAGAAAGAGCGAGAGAGAGAGAGCGAGAGAGCGAGAGACAGAGAGAGAGACAGAGAGAGAGAGAGAGAGAGAGAGAGAGAGAGAGAGAGCGAGAGAGCGAGAGCGAGAGAGAGAGAGAGAGAGAAGGCAAAGCTCACTTCTAGAAACCCAATCTTCTTTCACTTAACTTCTCGGTGCAAGTAGCTGCCCATTCAGGTTCTGCTTCCAGTCTAAATTCACTTAGGTAAAGGCATCACTGACGACTGGAAAACCTTTCAAAGAGAACCAAAGGTTCCACAGACCATTCCACATGAAACTCTCAGTTAAAATAAGCTCAATTTTAAAATTATTGTGAGTCAAAACAGGCTTTTACAGGAGTAAGCACAACCATAATGCCACAAAACTGATAATATTCACATATTTGGGT